TCTATGGGGCCACAGACACTCTGAGTCGGGCTGGTTGGAACAAGGTGAAGTTCAGGGCAGGAGGCAGAGGGCTGCTCCAAGGACTCCTGGAGCATCACCTGCAAACCACTCCCACCCCTGGAGGCCCTTTGATTTCCTGCCTGGCATGTGCCCTGGGCCTGGGTCCCGGACCCTCCTCAGCAAGCACCATGGCTGCAGAGCTGGTTCGGAGTAGTAGTAAGAGGGGAAAGAAGTTGAACCAGCTTGGCCCAGGCACTGCTGGAGACGGTGCAGAAGGGATTTCCCGGGGCAGCCATCGCCCCAGCCAGGTATGTCCCGCAGGGCACTGGCTCTGGAAGATGCTTGGTGCAAACAGATCCTGTTGGGGAAGGGCCCGCTGAAAGCCTACAGACCTGGGGCTGGGCTCACACAGCTCAGGGAGGGCATATGAATTCCGGGGCCCTCTGAAGCATATCTCAATATCCTTTGGCTTTTTTTTTTTACGCTTGGCCAGATGGATCCTTAATTCTGGTCACAATCCCAGTGCCTCTTCCTGCTTCTCCAACAACTTCTCCAAGGAGAACCCCCCCCCCCCGCCCCCATGCTGAGACTCCCACTTCCGGCCAGGAAGGCAAGGCTGAAGGTACCGTTGCAGACTGTGAGCAGAGATGGAGGTGCCCCACCTGAGCAGGAGCGAGGGGCAGACAGAGGCCGTGGGGATGTGGAAATGCACTCACTGAGGAGTTGCAGCTGTGACCTTTCCTGGTTTGGACCCGGCAGACTCCAAGATTCCCCAAGGGCCGGAGGTCCTGCTGGCACCGGGCACTAGGGACTAAACGTGCCCAACCCTGGCTGAGCAGGCCAACGAACGAAAGCTCTTCTGTGCCAGGCCGCTCTGCTTCTTCTTTATAATCAAGGAGCTTTTCAATTACAGCATTTTCCTCTTTACAGAAAACCTCAGTGCAAGAGCCTTCTAATCTCCTGCCGGTCCTGGGGTGGGGGCAGCATTCTGAGATAGTCAGGGCCCCTGGGGAGAAGGCAACATGTGCTGTGCTGTAGGGGGCTGGGCACGGAGCCTGGCATGGAGCCTGGCTATGGCAGGGAAGACTGGACAAAGGCCCCGCAGCTTTGCTTTCTCTGCCCTATTTCAATCCAAACCACTCAGGGCTGACCAGTCACGCATGGCTGCCTCCTGGCACAAACCTTTTCTTTCTCGCTTAATACTAGTACGCTGTGCCCTAGCCACTACCCCTGCTCTCCCAAGTACTCGAAATGAAAGCTGGCTTCAGAACAGCTGACATCTAAGAAGACTGGAGAGCGAAAATGTGGATGGCACAATAAACTCGGAATAATGCACGATGGAGTCCTACAGTGGGAACGAGGCCTCTTGGAAATAACTATCCCCTCGATGCCCACCCCTCCCTGGCTGGATCAAAGGGGAGAAAGGTGGGGCTAGAGCAGCGGTTCTCAACCTGTGGGTCGCGACCCCTTTGGCGGTCAAACAACCCTTTCACGGGATCGCCTAAGACCATCCTGCATATCAGATATTTACATGACGATTCATAACAGTAGCAACATGACAGTTATGAAGTAGCAACGAAAATAATTTTATGGTTGAGTCCCAACATGAGGAACCGTATTTAAAGGGCCAGAAGGTTGAGAGCCACTGGGCTAGACTAGAGACTGCCCAGCAGGAAAAGCAAGGGGAGAAAACGCAAGAGTGGTGGGTCCCCGAGGTGTGTTGTCTGTGCAGCAGTAAGGTCTAGTGGGGGGCTGGTAAGGGTGTGGGGGGGTGCTGTCTGCAGGGCTGGCTGACTGGGAGAAGCAGTGCCACTCCAGTGAGCATAAGACAGGATGAGGAGTGAGAGTTGGCAACTCGGGGGGGCCCACTCTTGGGGAAGTCTGGATCAGGAATGTGAACACAGCTAGAGGGTGAAAGAGATAAGCCCAGAAGCGGGGCCAGCTCTGATTATACCGAAGCAATAGAAGCTCTCTCCCGGAGGTCTTGCTGCCACAGAAAAAGAGTGTCTAGTGGACCCTGAAGGGATCATTCATTTTCCTGGCTGAGAACATGTCATGTGGCTCACGGTGGGATGTGCTGAGGAAGACGGCTGAGCCCCTGCCCTCGGGCACAAGAACAGTCTAATAATTAGGTTGATTCATTTCTGGGATCCGAGTGGTTTTAGGGGCAGACAGAAGATCCAGGCCAGCCCTAACTCTGGCTCCCACAAAGACAAAAAAATAAACAGTTCACTCTAGTCCCAGAATTCTAAACAGTCTAGCACAGCTTGGAGCCTCCCACCCCGAGTCAGTGCCTGCTACGGCTGCAAGAAGATGCAGCGAAAAGCCCAGACATAAGGCCGACGAAGAGAAGTCCCCAGTGGCCGTCCAGTTGGGCGACTTTCCAAATGCACTCCCTGGAGCTTCAAGGCAGTGGGTGGGTGTGGGAGTGGAGCTGAGGAGCTGAGGCCCCACTGTCTCCTTCCACCTAGTTCATGTTTGACAACTTCCACACATCCAACTTCCTTTTAGAGAACACTGCGGCCCAAAGGGAAACACACTTGTCCAGGATCATAAAGAGCGGGTAGCCCTTTAGTGTTCCCTAGGTTATAAATACAAATACAGCAGAGAACTCGGGGGGGGGGGGGGGGGGGTCAGGGGAAGCTGGGGGGAAGGGAGGGGTCAGGGGAGCCAAGATACAAGTGCGCAAAGGCCAGTGTGCCGGCTGGCAACCACTCAACCCTAGACAGAAAGCCCAGGCCTTCTGTCTCCCCTGGGGCGTGTCCCCACTTCCTGTGGCCCAGGGCTGGCCTGCTGACAGCACTAGTGGATCTGGGATTCCAGCTGCCATTCCAGCTGCTGTCATAAGGCTGGCTCCCTTCCTGACGGAGAGCAGTTCCACTTCAAAAGGCCTGGCCTCCGTGGTCTTAGGCAAGTCCTTGAAAGCAGGGTGCTTTTTCCTGTTTTCTTTCAGCATGTTGGGGCAAAACAGACGATGCTCTCTATCTGAGATCGACATGGCAGTTATGTTGGACAAGCTCCTAGGATGGACTTCACGGAGGATTCAGAGCCTCATGGATGAGAAAGTGTGAGACTGTATGGAGAGCCCACATGCCACCTGTGTTGTGGGATGGGGGCCACTTGACAGCAGGATCCCCTTCCTCAGGGATCATGGTCTCGCTTCTGCTGGGGCATAACAAAGGCTCGGTCCAGTAATGAGCGTGTGCAGGTCCCAATTCAAAGAGCGGACCAAGGTCAGCCAGAAGAGATCATGCCCTCCTCGACAAGTCACAGGATGAACTCTGCAACCTCCTTCTTCCCAAAATTTGATGGGGCTCAGGAACCTCACCACATGAAGTATCACCAACTTGTCCAAAACATGCATTTTAAAAAGTGATAGGCCCTGGCCGGGCGGTTCAGTTAGTTAGAGCATCATCCTGATACGCCAGGGTTGTGAGTTCGATCCCCAGTCAGGGCGCATACAGGAAACCAATGAATGTATAAAAAAGTCAGTGTTTCTCTCTCCCCCACACCCCTCTCTCTAAATTCAACTTTTTAAAAAAATTTGATATATGGTTAGCAGTATGCTGTATTAATTTGATTTAAAAAAAAAAAAAAAACCTGGTTCTGTGGTTTATTTGTTGGGGGAAAGCACAAGAAATACCTGTTCTGTGTACTCTAGTCAGGAACATTATTCATGTCTCAAGAGGTAAATAAGAATGAAAAGCATGACGCTCAGGCCATGGAAGCAGCCTGGTGCCTGAGCGGCCCCTGTTCCTGATGTTCTTGGCAATGGCCATCAAAACACGGGAAGCTGCCCCTCTGGGAAAGGACCTGCCCACCACAGACAGACATCTCCAAAGCACTTTCTAAATGTGTCTTGAGTATCTTTCAATGACCCCGCAAATAAAGCACCAAGGAGGCTTGTGTTTGACCATTCGCTTCGTGCTCCTTATGGGACAAGAAGAAACATTTATATCACAGGATGATCAGACACCTTTCCCAAGGGCCACCAGGGCAGGGGTTCCAGGTAGCTTGGCTTTGTTCATTCTTTTTGAAGTCTTGCAGAGGACTACAAAGCATTTTCTCACAAAAGTTAGAATCTGATTACAAAGAGTAACACCCAAGTCTTTTACCCCAACAATATTACTGCTTAGCTTCAGTGTGGAGGGTAAACAAGGCAGCATATTTGGCCTTGTTCTACAAGCTAAGAAAACTAAGACAAAGCAAAGGAACTTTTCTCAGTCATAAGGTAAATGGTGAGATTATCTGGAACACAGGAGACCCAGCTTCTCAAACCTGCCCTTTCAGCACTTGCCTACGCACGTGTGTGCTGCCTGGAACAGCTCGCAGGCTCCTGAGCCCAATGAACTAAACAGCCAGGCTTGAAAAAACCCCAAGGCTCGGGATGTGAGAGGAGGTAGTTTTCTGTGTCTCCCTATAGACATTCCCACACTCAGGACTTGGCACGAGGCCGTTCATTCAGTGAAATACGTCGAAGGGGCAGTGTTTTGTAAGTGCTTCTAATTTTATTTTAATGAATAACGGATTCCAATGTTGACAATCAAATCCCCGGTTAATATTGGTGTCCATAAAATAAGGTGTTGGGGGTGGTAAACGCCTAGTCTCAAGGATCAGAAATGCCCTGTGCCTTGTGGGAAGGGGTGTCGGGGCTGAGGTGCTAAGTGCGTGGGGTGAGAACCTAACATCGAAAACACTGGCTTTTCACCCGACTGAACTCTGCTCCCAGTCCCCTGCAACACTGAACAGGCCGCAGTCAGATGCCAGGGAGAGAGGAGGTGCTGCTCCTCCCCGATCCCGTAACAGGAAAGACGGGCTTCAATGCCCATTTCACTCCAGCAGTCACATCAGCGATAAATCATCCCCTGGGTATTTAAAACGGGTTCTTCCAGCCCAGCATTAGCTTCAAATATCAACCAGGGTCTGACAACATAGACTAACCAACGGGACACTTACAGGAACAACAACAAAAATTCATCTGGACGATGATTCCATAGAAATAAAAGGACAGTCATTTCTTTTTAATTTGGCAGAAAGATAACAGTAATTCCAAACAACAAAGTCCATCAATACACAGGAGGATACTTATTCCCTCAGGGAATGACGATGTCCAAATGGCAACCTATATTTCAGGTAAGATGTTGCACGCCTCAGTTTGGGACTGAGGAATGGTCAACAGTGTAAGGGCGGCGGGAGGAGGACTCCAGCTTTAGAAACCTTCTACCAAAGAAGACTGGCCTAACATCATAAAAAGGGTCACGTGCACATTAAAAACCCAATGGAAAGTCTCTGCACTAAGATGTGGTCACAGCCAATTGGTCTCCATCTATTTGTCACTACAAAGCAAGAATTGGGCTTTAGGTTACAGCGTGGCCCTGCTTTTCCCACACAAAGTGGTGAGGGTGGTGCTGCAAGGGCACTACTGTGGGTGGGAAAGAGGTCCCAGCCCAAGGCTTCTCCACTCCCAACAGCACAGGAGAGCGGCCCGTGGAAGCAGATTCCAACTCAGTGGGTCTCGGGCCCAGGTTCCTACATTCCCTAACAGCTTCGTGCTGCTGTGGGGCCACAGCTAACATCTGAGCAGCGCTGATGGAACAAGGAGACCACTGCTGGGATCCCACAGGCTCGGGGAGCATCACCTGCTTACTGGGCCCACCTGACTCCCAGCCCTGGGGAGTGTCATTAAAGGAGCCAATACTAAGATTGGATCATCAGCCGGAAGACACGAAAAAGGCTTTAAAACTACTGACAGCAGACTGGGAGAAACAGATCGGATTTTGGGGAGCTACTGACAGGTTGGTGTCAATCCCCGGGAAGAAGTCCTCTGGCAAACAGCTGCTGAGCAGGGAAAAGGCAGCTGCTGCCTCTAGCACTAGACAAACCTCTGCACAAGCCTTTGCCTTGGGAAAGAGTAAGTTGCTTGGCATGTTATCACTCTTATGCGCCAGCTCCATTTGGAGCAAAATAAAAGAGCGAGATCTAACAATGAGGATCAGACCCGGCTGGCGTGGGACAGTGGTTGAGCATTGACCTATAGACCAGGTCACGATTCTGATTCCCAGTCAAGGCACATGCCAGGGTTGCAAGCTCGATCCTGTGTGGGGCGTACAGGAGGCAGCTGACCAGTGTTTCTCTCTCATCATTCATGTTTCTCTTTCCCTCTCTGAAATCAATAAAAATATATTTTTAAAAAGATGATCAGCTATCTGTGATCTTAACTGAGTCCTTTCCCTATGCTGACCGAAGGTGGGAACTACCGGTTCCTAGGATGGCTTGAGGGTCCTGTGTGCCGCTCTCTCCCACACAGGCTCACTAAACAAACCCAGTGTCCCCAGGGGGCAAAGCCTGAAGACATTGCAAACACAGAGGGGAAACACAAGAAGCTATAATTTTGCCCAAAAGCCATGGTTATTCTGATAAAAAGAGCTATTCAAAAGGGATGCTGCCAGGGTGACTAGCCCTCCAATTGAAACCTGCCTCCCCTCCGTTATTTGAGTTTAAATGTTTAGGAACGGGGGAGCGGGAAACCTAGCACAAACCTAGAGCTAAAAGACAACGTTAGCAAGAGAGACGTCCGCGTCTGCACCTCTGCCCCAGAGATGTACATACACACTCAACAGAGGAAACAGCGAAACAAACGCCAGTCATAAACTCTATTTAAAAGTCCTTCAATGTTCTTAGGAATATTGCTTCAGTTGTATGTTGCTCATAACGATAATCCTGAATTGGATAAAATGGCCACATTCCCCCCCCTTTTTAAACAAAGTGATGTAAAGATCCTTTCTGGCCATTCCGGAAGAATGTTCTCAAAAAGAGAGGTGAGATGCAAGGGATGGTGGACTTGAGAGACAGGAAGACATTTTACAAAAGCCTGTGCCGTCCACACGAACTTCAGTCCACTCCGCTCTTCTGAGGCCGGATTGTTCAATAGCGCCAGGAGGGTCTGACTTTCTGCTTCTGAATAACAGCAGAAGTGGAGGAAGACGTTACCACATGTTTTAACATTCGTCGTCCTTTCCGAAAGGCTTGAAAGCAAAAAGCTTTTGAAGCCAAAAAGGAGGCAGAGTCCCTTGGTCACTGCAGGAGACACACAGGTGCCCCCTCCTGTGCCCAACACTAAGAGACAGACCGCCGGGCAGCGTGTGAGGCGGGCGCGGAGAGGAGTCTAATCTGAAGACACTTTCCCACAATTATGGCAAGTTCTTCACTTTCATGCTTTATTGAAAGTAAAATATGAATCAAAGACAGGTACTGGTAAGCAGATTACGTCTCTAAAGAGTTACTTGTAGCTCAGAGCAGAATGTCGTCCCATTTACTGTGATACAAATCCCTTATGGGCCAATGCATCTGGCATGAAACTCGAGCAAGGAAATAGAACAGAACTTCATTCCCTCCCGCGATTATAAATCTCATATGTAAACATGATTTACTGTTGCTGCTACTAACCTGGTTTGATCTTTATTCGCCTTTCCCCCACCCCCACCCCTTAAATAGAAAACCTGAAACATTTCCTTCAAGTCTGAGGCCCTTCAGTGCAATCGGCTTTATTTGACACAAGGCATTTGGGACGGTCACTTTTGAATGGTTTTCTGCCTTTTGGAAGAGTCACGTAATGATTCAATTCTTAAATCCAGCTTTTCTTTAATGCCCTAACATGTCAAACTCCTCTTCCCTTCTGGTCATTTCTTAGCAGTCAGGAAAGGTCCAAAAGATTAATGTCCAAGGAGACCAGTACCTGGGAAAAGAAACACGTGGAGGTATAGTTATGAACCAAAAATTCAGAGTCCATGCATTCCACTCGCCCAGAACACACCACCCCAGAGACTATCCACCTTAATGAATGAGTGCAGCAGCCCCTTGGTGCTGAAGGGCGGGGAAAAAATAGCCACGCCCTGGCTGGTTTGGCTCAGTGGATAGAGTGTCGGCCTGCGGACTAAAGGGTCCTGAGTTCGATTCCGGTCAAGGGCACATGCCCCGGTTGTGGGCTCGATCCCCGGTAGGGAGCAGGCAGGAGGCAGCTGATCAATGATTCTCTCTCATCATTGATGTTTCTATCTCTCTCTCTCCCTCTCCCTTCCTCTCTGGGAAAAAAATAAATGAATAAATAAAATAAAATAAAAATATATATATATATATTTTTTTTCTTTTTTTAAAATATATTTTATTGATTTTTTTACAGAGAGGAAGGGAGAGGGATAGTGAGTTAGAAACATTGATGAGAGAGAAACATTAATTAGCTGCCTCCTGCACACCTCCAACTGGGGATGTGCCTGCAACCAAGGTACATGCCCTTGACTAGAATTGAACCTGGGACCCCTCAGTCCGCAGGCCGACACTCTATCCACTGAGCCAAACCGGCTAGGGCTATATATATATTTTTTAAAAATCAGCCAAATGTAGGTTTTCAGCTAAATCCCATTTCTGTTCAAAGCCATGTGTTGTCTTCATGCAGTTAGTGAGAATTGACTGACACTTTCATCAGATGGTCATTGTTCATTTTAAAAAAAAAAAAAAAAATTTTTTTTTTTTTTTTGCTTTGCTTTGGTTGTGACAACAGGGGTTTCTTTGCAGTCGTGATGCGCAGACAACAAAGGGGCACTGGGAGGAAGGCTTTCCACGGGCCAGTGGCTCCTTCACTCATTTCCTTTAGCAAAGGCACCCCCGACATCTGATTCAAACAACTCCTGGGCAAAATCACAACCTGCCTGGACCTCTGGAGCCGGCCAGCACCAGTTAAAATGGCAACAGTAAATGCCAAAGGTCCGTACTTGGTGCATTAGTGAATAACATTGGTGTGCACAGCTATAGCGGCCAAGATGTAGTACAAGGCACTGCTGTGTTTCCATCTAAAGTAATAACCCAAGACATGCCTTCATTCTAAACAGATTAATGAAACCTTTTCACTGAACCTCATGTAGTTCAGCAAATTCTTCTCCTCCAATTCTTATCAGTTGCACACAAACTGTTTTGCTCGCAGATGGGACTGACAGGGTGAACTGGAAACAGGTTAAATATAAACCTCGAAATGCCACTAGCTAATTCCCCAACCTCTCCCCACCCCCGCCAAACAAGAGAAAGCAGAATGGATATGTGGCAGTAGATACTGCGACCACACAGGCCCCACTGGAGGCCCGAGTGCTGAAAAGGATAACGAAGAAGCTCGAATAAAAAATGCATTTAACTAAAATTAATTTCAGTCATGAGACTCAGATGGAATTAAATTTTAAAATCAAATTATAGCCTTCACTTTAATAGAAAATTACAGTATGACTCTGACATTCACGAACAGAACATGACAAATGTAACTTACCTTTAAACCCTTCTTCTGGCATACACACTGGCGGGGGGGAAAAATCCAAATTAGAAAGACTGTCGTGACAGATAGTAAGTAACAAGATCATGTCAATGCCCAAGATGAGGTTTAAAATAACTTTTAATTACTTCACCCATAATCATTACTTTTGAAGTTATGGGTGATAATTATCAGATGACATTCTTCGTTTTTACATTCTGCGCGGCTCCAGGGAAGCCTGGAGACAACCCCGGGGCTGACCTCTGGAGCTGCCCACACACCCCCCATCCCCACATGCCAGAAGGAACCACTTTTGACTCTTGCAGCCATTTCTTATGGTGTGCAATCTCTTTTTTTCTAAATAACATGCTTATATTGCTATTCCACTATTTTAGACAATTCCTCAAGGGATGAGACCAGCTACACTTCCTCCTGACACTGTGATCCTTTGTTGTTAGGCTGATCTCCAGCGTTCACATTATTTTTAAAATTTTATTAATACTGCTCACAGTAGAACCCTTTGGTGTACTGTGGCTACACTGCTTGTCTGGTATGGTTTTTATGGTTTTCTGAGTTGTTAGCTCTGCATTATTTATGCGTTTCATCTTCTCTATACCATCTCCAACTCAAGGGCAAACTCATAAAGACCTCTGAGCCTCAGGACAGTCGGCTATCGCTTCCACTTTCCCGAAGCCTGCATCCCGCGGCTCCTACCCATGCTGGGTGTGTGCCGGAAAGTAACGGGCCTCGGCCTCACCTTCTAGTTTAACTTCTTCAATGAGCTGAGACACATACTCTAACTGCCCATCTGAGGTGCCAGGGGAAGAGGCAGGATGACATGATGTAAAGCGAGGGGCTGTGAGGAACTGGGGGACAGCGAGGTGTCTACCTGCTTCTTATACAGTTTTCCAGCCAGTTTCCTGTTTTTAGGCTCATACCTCACTCCCACTTTCAGGGGTACCTGGGGCCTCCCATTCCTGTGTGCCTGATCTGAATTAGCTTTGCTTCCTGATGACCTCTTCCATCTGTAGGCTGACATTTATTTCGGGGTTTTTTTGTGTATGTTTTTCAGGTCAGCTAAATAATTACTACTCTTCTCCCTGCTTTCCATTCACAACATGTAGACGCTTTTTTTTTTAAGGTTAATAATATTATAGATGAAAGCTTAAATATCTATAATTCCACATCCTTCTAACAAGTTAACAAATTCCTACAATAAATTTGCCTTTACCTTGCATGACATCATCCATTGCAGCATAATCAGCAATTGGTTCATCAGCCTAGACAACAAATGAAGACAATTCAAAACATAAGGGAGAGGCAGCCAGGAGGAAGTCTGGCCCAGGAGCCGACTACTGTGTGGCCACAAGACACAAATCTGAACACTGTCCAGTAGAGAACTGGGTTCGAGCCACAGCCGGCAAAGTTGAGGATTAACGAAGGGTGGCCAGCCTGAAATGGGTCTACTCTAAACTCATCACCCACAAAACTGCACACTGTTTGTGGCATGTTTTCCAGCTTCTAAAAACACCTCTAGATGTAGAGATGCTTAGACACCAAGGTTACTAAACTGGTTTAATTAATGTGAATTCACATGCTGGTGGTGGCCGAGTTAGGCAGGAATAAAAGTCAGACTGGTCCTCTAAAAATACTAACTAGGTTAAAAATACATTGTTGTCCTGCCTCACTAACAAGAACAAAATACCCTGATCCTTTTTAGGGCAGAAGCCAACACAGAGCCCGAGCTTCTGGTGGGATTAGCTGGAAGGACAGGGGCCAGTGACCAGTGGAGAATCTAACTGCCCATCAGAAGTACAAACCCACTGTCTCTAGGATTTTAGACAGGCCTCCTAGGACTCAACAACTCAATAGGTTTTCAAAATATTTCCACAGAACCTACAGTTCCAAGAAAGGAGAAAGTGAACAGCGGGAGGGGTAGGTGGTAGGTGAGGGTGTGTGTATGTGTGGGGTAGATATGAGTCTGCTCCATCATGTCCAGGGCCTAGCTTATCTCCTCAGAACTGAGGCGCTTGGGTATGATCTATGTCCCCGTTCAAATACCCTATGAACATTTTAGCACAGTGGGGATGCTTCTGGCCACAGAGAAACAACAAAGAAGCAAATGAAAGTGATGAGTAGGTACCTCTAGCCACGAGAACCATTGGGCAAATAAGGCTGGTTCAATGACTCACTTTCTTTGACAATTTCTCAGAAGCCCTACTATCTAACATACCTCCTACATCCATTCTACCCAAAGCCAGTTTCCACCAGCTGGACAAGAATCCCATGAAGACAACCAAAAGTATTTTGACTGTGTGGCTAAGCCTCGGGCCCGTGTGATTCCTAACATGACTGGCTGCGATCTTTGAGCCTGGAGGAAATGAGCGAATGCTTTAATAGTAGAAGTATCGTTAATTCTGCTGATCCAGAAGTTAGGGAGGAGGCTCAATCTAGATCCATTATTTTTAACAAAATTATGAAAACTTCAATGATGCCCCGACCTCCTCTAAGTCTCTGCGGCTCGGCCACAGCCGGCGAACCGAGACACCAGCACGAATTCATGGCTGTCACCTGTTACCACACCCTGCCGAGGACCCGGGCAGCCGTAACCACCACTGCGGCAGTTCACACGTGGGTGTGCATCATCAAAAAGTTCCAGAGAAAAGAGAAGGAAAAAACCTTCTAGAATTCCTCAGGTAAGAAACCGTCACTTACCTTTAACAAAATGACAGATTCCGGAATGACTCCAAGGGTGCCGAGGGTGGCACTGTCATCAGTTAAAATCTTTCCATCAATGGAGAGATTCTGGTCAAAAGGAGCGACTGAAAATGCATGCATGATCTGAGAAAAAAAAAGAAGTTGGTATAAAGCAAAATGCTGAGACTTATACCCCATATGAATAAATAGATTCCTTAAAAAATAAAGGAATTCGAGTACAAAAGACATTACTGTGTGCAGTCAGCCCACTTGCTACCTACCTACTGAGGCTACAATCCCAACACATCTGGGAACTCCCCTAGGAGGGCTGGTAGAGGAACTGTTATACCCACAGATCCTTTAGTCCTGCGCCTATCACCTCTCCGAGGGTAGGGAATCAAAGGAGCAGAAGGTGGGGCTGGGCTGACAGCTCCTCTGGCCATGAGGCTTGGGCAGGGCCACTACTGTCATCAGCCCAAGTAACCATGTCCAAGTCCCACAGCCTTGTAATCATCAAGTCTTTAAATTAGCCAGCAGGCGATTTGGACTCTTCTTCCTTCTGCTTTGATTCCTTTAGCAAGCAGCCTGGACTACACAATTCAGTCCTTGGGACACATATTCTTAGACTGATCCTTTATCTAGGAACCAAAATATGAATTCCTTAAGGGTAAGGACCCTAGTTCTAGCCAAGTGTTAAAAAGTAAATACATTCAGAAAGACTACTTACACATTTTCAAACTCAGAAAAACTTCACTTTTATTATTTCCCGGTGTGTACTTTATTATGCTTCCTGACTCAGTTACATCCTCCTTGAGCGCATTCTATTATATATATTTTTCATTACTTCTATACCCATGACGTAGAGGAAAACCATCCTACCATTCCATGCACTCTCTTCCTCTACCCTTTGAACATGGGAAGGCAAAACGAGCCTAGCTAAGCAGCCTGAACCAACCGTGTGTATAACAGGGGCCAGGAGATTTCCATGCTGGGACAGCTGGGACCACAAAAGTGGTCTTAATAACGGCACACAGACAAATAAGAACCTCGACGGGACTTCTCAAAAGGACATCAGCCCCCGAGAAGCGAGCAGGGATCGATCAAACAGGGACGGGTGGCTACGGTGCACTGGCATCATCAAGAACCGCCTATGAAGCAATAAGCCTATTTCTGGGAAGGGAGAAGAATCGACAGGACAGTTCTACCAAAGCCAGCCCAGCACACAGGCCCCGGGACCTGTGGAGAAGGACCAGTTACAGGGAGGCATCGCATACAACAGCTGCTCGGCTGGAGGAATGCTGGCTCATATCCCTGAATGCTGATGGTCTTTGCACCACCCTGTGGACTGACAACAAGTACCCCTGGACACAAGCACGATCGGTGAGGGGCCGATGCTCAGACTTTATTATTTGAGCACACAGACAAGGACATTAAAATTCACTCTAGAACTAATGAAATATTTAATAAGAAGCTACCTGTCAAATACTGTGCTAAGAGCAAGAAAGATGAAAGTGACTGACGCCACCCTGGAGTTCACAGGAGTGAGAGCAGCAATGTGAAGGCGGGGGCGGGAGGGACGGGTAAGATCCAGGGGGACACGGAAGAGAACAGCCAGCTCTACAACCCGAGGCCAGGACAGGTTTTGTAGAAGAGGTGCGAGGAAAAATGAACAAGTGTGTGCTAATGAGGAGAAAACGACTTCAGAACAAGGGAGCAGGCTAATTAAAGACATGGAGGCCTTTGGTACAACAACTCACAAACCGTAAGTACTAGGAGAACGCTTGAGCAGAACTAATATTATATAAGTGTGTTTAACAAGTAGATACAGCTTTCCTGATCTATAGAGCAATTAGGGAACAATGTTTTCCTAACGGTGAGTGGCTCCCTGCTGCTTGCTAGTGTGCGTGTGCATGTGCGTGTGCGTGTGTGTGTGTGTGTGTGTGTGAGAGAGAGAGAGAGAGAGAGAGAGAGAGACAGAGAGACAGAGAGACACAGAGAGAGACACAGAGAGAGAAATAAGGAAATGTACGAGCAATGGCTTCCACTGCCAGCCATTTAACCTGTGCCAACACTTCCTCCTTTCTCAGGCAGGCAATACCACCCACTCAAAACCTATTTTTGGGAAAATGAAATAACACAATAAAACACTGCATCCTTTGAGAAAGGAGATGAATAAATTATACTTCATTTGCTTTATGGCATCATAGGTGGATGAATTAGTAATTTGGCAAAGCAAGTTTCCTTAGGTTTTAAAGAACTGCAAATGGGTATGTCTAGGCTAAGCCATTGAGTTTTACAAAGCTCGTCGTCCTATTAACTTGGAATTGTAGTATTCCCTGGAGGAAAGGCTCCATCAAACACAAAAACATGCTTTTCAAAAAACCACCCACCACCACAAAGCGGGGATCACACGCATGCCCACCACAAGCCCCGATGCTGCCCCGGCTGCTGCGGAAAAAGGGTCACATCCAGTCGGTGCTTTCAAAGCCGCCGCACTGAGCAGCGAGGAGAAAGGGCATCTGCTTAGATCACAGCGGTGCTTGAGCAGGTGGGAGATGAGAGGAAGGACACTGTAAAGGAACTGTCTGAGCAGAGCCCATTTCGGGACGTTCACTTGAACAGCTGCTGCCTTCTAATAACCCATTGGTGCAGGTTACACACTCCTCTCCTGGAGAGGTGATTTCTGCTGACTTTTTGACTTATTCTTCAAAAATGGGAGTCCATAATAGAAGCAGCACAGGCTTTTCAAATGCCTCCACCACAGGGGCTCTTTGTGTCCTAGAAAGGGTTTGAATGTTCGAGGTTTACCACTGACAGGCAGAAAGCCGGTGAGAGAAGCAAGCTTTCTCAGATGGAAAAGGTACAATAAACAGAGGGAAGATATTGTGCCAACACGTTTATTTCCAGAGCGATGGGTTCAACCGAGGGAAACGCTGTTCCCCGGACAATCTGGAACACATAACACCCTCAAAGGAAGCCTGTACTTTTGTCTCAATCACAATGATAAATATCAGCAACAAGAAAGATGCGTAACCATTAGACTATGCCACATGAAAGCAGCAACGAGGGAAATTTGGTCAACTTTTTGGACATATAGCAGTGACTGAAACAGATCAGGGGCCAGGCTTTCTTCCTGGACATCTTGAACTTATCAGCCCTCTTTGCCTGCGTGGTGAGATATACCAGTGGCACGCTCATTTACAGCCCTTCTGCATTAGCGCCGAGAACTAACACTCCGTGAAGCCTTTTCACAATGCCCACATTACATTCATTAAATTGATCTGTAAAGCAATGCATGCTTTTAGGGGGACAGAGAGGAAATGATGTAAGATGGACCTTTACAAAACAATATGAAAACACCAGTCTGAGAAGAGAGGTGAAGGTAATTGTAAAATTCTACCAAACAGACTTATCTGACATCAAAAATATGATGATGAAAAGAATTTCTGACTCATCCAATAAACAATTAAGCAGCTGCCTTTTACATCCCCTTAAATTTGACAGAAGATCCTGGTAATAATCGGCTCAGATGCCCATTAAGTGGCCAAAGAAAAGCATACAGCACAATAAAGTGAGAGAACAATTATTCTGGAACAACCCTGACACGTTCACGAACTGACACTCGATGTTTCTCGTTGGAAAGCTACTCAGAACTTGTTCAAATTTCAGAATCCAAAAACACTTTCATCTTCATAGAAAGCTTGTCTGTTCTAAAATCTTCTGATCATTTTAAAGAATAAGTTATTTTAATGTTGAGGTCCTGCAGGCATTACTCCAAAATCAATAAAACCTTCTCAGTGGCTTAATACATGACCAGAGATCAACCTAGAAAAAACCAGTTACACATATGAACATGGGTGGAAAGCAGGGATTTATGAAGGTCCTTTTAGTCCACAACATACTCGGTGTTATGCTGTCCTCACCTGAATTTTCAATTCTTTCAATGTCTGATTAGCAGAAACAAGAAGTGCTTTCTCGCCACGAACTTTTCTATGCCGCATACTCCGTCGAATAACTTGCTTCTGATAGGCAATGTAATTTTGATGGGATATCTTTTGCCTTTTTGTTCCTCCGTTGCTCTATAATAAAGATTCAAAACAAAGGAAGCAATGAAATGATCCACAGTATTACTCGTGCTCTACTGATGAGTCCCCTAAACCAGGGGTCCTCAAGCTTTTTAAACAGGGGGCGAGTTCACTGTCCCTCAGACCGTTGGAGGGCCGGACTATAGTTTAAAAAAAACCTATGAACAAATTCCTATGCACACTGCACATATCTTATTTTGAAGTAAAAAAACAAAACGGGAACAAATACAATATTTGTATTTGCATGTGGCCCACGGGCCGTAGTTTGAGGACCCCTGCCCTAAACATTGAAATTCAATGTCAGAAATAAGTCGAGGTGATCAACCAAAGACTTTGTATGCATATATGCATAACCCATGGACACAGACAGTAGGGTGGTGAAGGCTGGGGCAGGGGTGGGAGCGGGCTAGAGGGGGTTGATGGGGGTGGGGGTGGGAATGACATATGTAATACTTTCAACAATAAAGAATTTTTTAAAAGATAATCTTTTCTTCCTATATCATTTTAAAAAAATAAGTAGAGACTCATTTTTAGCAGGCTCATAGAATTGAATAAAGAAAAGAATGAGATAATTCTTCTAACTGCATGTAAGCTCCAAGATTGTTTTAAGAAGACATTATAAAAAGAACATTTAAAAGCAAAATGATATGTCTGACCTTAAATCAGAAGACCTGTGATATGCTGGAAAACTTTAAGATATTTTTTAAGAGAGTTCATTATTTTTAATTTTTAAAATATATTTTATTGATTTTTTTACAGAGAGGAAGGGAGAGATAGAGAGTTAGAAACATCGATCAGCTGCTTCCTGCACACTCCCTACTGTTGATGTGTCCGCAACCAAGGTACATGCCCTTGACCAGAATCGAACCTGGGATCCTCCAGTCTGCAGGCCGACAATCTATCCACCGAGCCAAACCAGCTAGGGCAAGATTTATTTATTTTTTTATCCTCATTGGAGGATATGTTTATTCATTTTAAAGAGAGAGGAAACATTGATCTGTTGCTTCTTGTATGTGCCCCTACCACCAGGGATCGAACACACAACCTTGGTATGTGCCCTGACTAGGAGTTGAATCCACAACCTTTTGGCGTATAGGATGACTCTCTAAATGACTGAGCCACCCGGCCAAGGATAAGATTATTAGTTGAACTCATCATCCTAATTTATTTGTATTAAATATTTTCTTCTGTTTTTTGAGATGACATGGAAATTTAGTATAAGCTGCTGATAACTTTAAACACTTCCGTGCTGGTTTAAGTATTCAGATGTGAAGGTCATAATGAACCTAAGGGCTGTTCAGCAACAAAATATAGGAATACACATGGGCACGTAATACATCTTATACTAGTCTTAAGGAAAAAATAATAGGTAAGGACCAAATGTCATTCTACAAGTTTCCTCAGCTTTGACTTTTTATGAACTCCCATGTTTCCTTAACCTTTCCTGACGACAGTCAGAATCATTGGACCCAGCCTGGTGCGGTTCCTAGCCTGTGGGCACCACCCTAAACAAATGCTCTTCTGTGTTTGCATCCTGATCCTCTTCCGCTTCTACAAGGCATCCTATAAATGCCTCATCAAGAGTCTAACAGAGGCCCTGGCCGGTATGGGTCAGCAGTTAGAGCGTCAAGCAATGTAATGAAGGGTCACAGGTTTAATTGCTGGTCACGGGCACATACATGGATTGTAGGTTGTATTCGTGGCCCTGGTCGGGGCACATGTGGGAGGCAACCAATCAATGTGTGTCACTCTCACATCAATGTTTTTCTCTTCCTCTTCTCTCCCTTCTACTCTCTCTACACATTAATGGGAAAAATATCCTCAGGTGAGGATTAACAAAAAAGAACCCTTTTCCCTGATTTAATGAAAACTGAATGAGGTAACCATGAGGCACTGGCTCGTCAGCTGTGCACAGCAGAGAGGTTTCGGGATCATTATTTATGGACACAGATGCCACAGTCATTACCATGGGAGCTCCAGAGATTTACAAAGCGGAAGGGGATCAGGATGCAAACACAGAAGAGCATTTGTTTAGGGTGATGCCCACAGGCTAGGAACCGCACCAGGCTGGGTCCGATGATTCTGACTGTCGTCAGGAAAGGTTAAGTAAACACGGGAGTTCATAAAAAGTCAAAGCTGATGAAACATTTTTCTTAATCTCGATCGACTATTGAAAGAAAAACTGGACCGAAATTCCACAATTAGGAAAAATATCTACAGTAATGTGAAATTTTACTTTAGAAACACAAAACACAACCAAATAACAAAGCCCTGAGCATTAAGCATGATACGTTAATGACTGGTTTTAAATGGGTCTAAAAGCTTTTCCCAGAATTACTTTTAAAAAAATCCATAGAATTTAAATACAACTTATCTGACAAAAAGCAGCCCATTGGTTTTAAATGGCTTTTAGTTACCTAAGTGATAACCAATACTGGGTTCATTATTAACCTAAATTGTAGATTAGGTCAAAGTCAAAGGAACTGTGTTGATCTAGCTTAAGAGAAAAGAGGAAAAGAGATTTGTTCATCTCCATTAAGGACAACTAGAAATCATTTGCTATTAGAGGGATTTAAAACAGCAATTATAAAAGCTATCTATGTACTGAGATACTGTAATGTACAGTTGACCCTGAACAACACGGGTTTGAACTCTGCAGGTTCATTTAAACGTGGATTTCCCCCCCCCAGTAAATAGAATAATTATATTTTCTCTTCCTTATGATTTTAATTCTTAAAAATATTTTCATTGATTTTTAGAGAGAGAGGAAGGGAGAGGGAGAAACAGCAATTCGAGAGCAAAGCATCAGCAGCTAACTCCTGCACGCCCCCTACCGGGAATCCAGCATGCACCCTGGGCATGTGCCTGATGGGAATTTTTTGGTGCCTAGGGTGACACCCAACCAAGCCACACCGTCCAGGGCTCTTCCTTATGATTTTCTTGAGCACATTTTCCTTCCTCTAGCTTACCTTATTGTAAGAATACAGTATGTATTATGTACAATATACAAAATGTGTTAACTGACTGCGTATGTTATTGATAAGGCTTCCAGTCAACACTAGGCTATTAGGAAAATTTCTGGGGAGTCAAAAGTTATACGTGGATTTCTGACTGTACGCGGGGTCAGCAGCCCGAACCCAGTGTTGCTCAAGGGTCAACTCTGTTACAAAGAAAAGGTTTGAGGAGGCTGGCATTCTGAAAAGACTTGATATTCTGGGACTCTACTCTTTTCTAAAGAAGGAAGGTTACACTTGAGATTTTATTGTGGGACAAGAACTATTTAAAACATTCTAGAGTATTACAACTTCCAAACAAGGAGAAGATAGAAGAAAATTACAAAGTATAAAATGTAATTACAGCATAAAAAGCAATGTTTCCCAACGTCCTCTATCATATTTGTACATGTGAAATCTGTTGTCATCCACATCGAAGAATTCCACATTCACTTTTGTAAATTGATGTGGTTATGACCAATGAATAAAACTACATATTCAAAAAAGTCAGCTTTCCAAAAGCCTAAATCTCTTGAAAATGTAAAGAGTTTTCTAAATACTTCTTAGATGAAAAAGTAAAGCTTGAAATAACAGAAACTAAGAACAATAAGAACATACACGTCAAGTTTTACAAACTAATTTAAAGTTTACCAGAGGGAACAGAAAGTGAGTTGGTGACCACAGGTAATAAAAAACATAGGGAAAAGATGAGATTCCCAATGGATTATTAAACCATACATCCAAGAGGTAATAATTAAAACCGTATGGTTTGGCTCAGTGAATAGAGTATCTATCTGCCTTCGGACTGAAGGTTCCCAGGTTCTATTCCAGTCAAGGGGACGTACCCGGGTTGTGGGCTCGATCCCCAGTAGGGGGCGTGCAGAAGGCAGCTGATCAACAGTATGGTATTGCCAGCCAAGCAAACCAAAAAGAGAATGAAGCTGTAAATCAGAATGGGTATGCACACGTGTGCACACAGATGCGCGCGCACATACTCTTTTAATGTATCAACTAGAAACACTGCTGGGGTCCAACCCCAGCAGGTCCAGGGGTCCCCAAAGGTGTGGATGGAGTCGGCGAAGAAGGAATGACACGGAGACAGCGTTCAGTTGATCAGCAGCCTAGCCAGGATCTCTAGCCAGGATCTCCAGCCAAGTTCTGGTCTGGATCTCCAGCGAAGTTCTGGTTAGGATCTCCAGCCAGGTTCGGTAACCAGGTTCTAGTCAGGTTCTCTTGCCATGTTCTATCCAGGTTCTGTAGCCAGGTTCTCTCGCTAGGTTCTGTTGCCAGTTTCTGTCCAGGATCTTTTGCCATGTTCTCTCCAGCGAAGTTCTTCTGTCTCTAGAGAACGTTCTGTGTAGGTTCTGTGTCTAGGTTCTGTCTTCTAAGTTCTGTCTCCTGTTGTCTTGTTACATCTGTATTTATACCAGTTGATTCCAATCCTATCAATCTCTATTACAAAGGTTAGGGCGTTTCTTATCTCCATTCCAGGGAGTAAAGATTATGTAGCTTAAGCATGATTGTTCGGTAGTCAAAGTGATTAATTACCCGCCTGGCACTTAGTTGAGGGGTTTTATTCCCTCCCTAACTTGAGGGGAAAATCCCTACCTGGGGAAACAACCTTTCTCAGAGAGGAGGCCTTGGTTAAAACACATAGTGCTAAGAAGGTGAGCAAACATATTAAGAACAGTATGCCATATATGCCAGGTCCCTTGAAACAGCAAGGATGGACCGGCTCCTGGCAAAACACAAACAGACTTGTTTGCAGATCTGTGAAGATCATGGAAGATGAACTGTATAAGGATTTGAGACATGAAAAAGTGGACAACAAACAGATTACAAAGGCAGAGAGGTTTGCAAACTCCTACAAAGAGACATATTATTTGACTCTGTCATCTCAAAAACCATCCCTCATAACAGAAGGCATACAGTGGGGCCTTGACTTACGAGTTTAATTCGTTCCGAGACTGAGCTCCTTAGCTCGTTAACTCAAATTACTCTGTCAACTCAATGCAAAAAATCAGCCGAGAGACAGCTGGTATCTCAAAAAACTCATTAGTCGGGACACTCGTAAGTCAAGGCCCCACTGTATATGCACATGGGTTTTAATAGGGGGGTTATTTGCCATAGGAAAACATCCCCTCAGGGCTGTAAACCTTCATTCCTGTAGAATGTATACATGTATACACGGCCAGTGTGGCTGTTGGTTGAGGGTCATCCCATGCAGATTCCCAGCCGGGGCACATGCCCGGGTTGCTAGCTTGATCCCAAGTCAGGAGTGTGGCCTGCATGAGGCAGCCAACCAATGTTCTCTTTCTCAATGATATTCTCTCTCAAACCAATAAAAACGTATTTTGAAATGTATAGATCTGAACTGGCACTGAAGCCAAGGCCCCCGATGCTGACTGGCAGAAATACGAATTTGGTAGGGCAACTTTAACAAGAGTGGCTGATCGCTGTCAGAAGGATGGTGCACAGGGTGCACGATTTTGTTCTCTCACAGGTGTTTTACAGTTAACATTTATGAGATGCGACAGCACAGAAAGCAAATGCTGATGTATCTCTCTGCCAACTGGGAAACCACAAGTAACATTTCGCTCGGGGAGACCAAGATTCAAGTCAAAGAGGGCTTTTCAGACTTTCTCCATCGACATTAAAAATGAAATAGCAGGATTGGTGAGCACAGACAGGACCAGCCCAGAGTTCTGCTCTCACAGATACAGCAGACGATCACTATACCATTTACTCCGTCAGGGAGAAGGACAACCATCATTTGACTACCCTGTATTTCGGCAGAAAGAAAGAAAATCTCTCATCTGTTAAAACTAAACTCTAGGTAGAGTAGAAATTTAATGAATTTAGGGTATCCATATAATATCCTGGAACACAGTGGCCTGACTTTTGGAGAAGATCAAACTTACCTACATTGTACATCAACCAAACATATTCCTACGTTATTTCCTGTTCTTAAGACAAGTTTCCCAATACAATGAGCATGCAGAATATAATCAAGCAACCAAAAAGGAGAGGGGATAGGAAATCATAATGGAATAGAAAAGACTAATGTTGGCATGGCTAGTTGTCTACTTACAGACCCAAAAATCGCATCTATAAACTCCATTATTAAATCTATTGTTTATTTTATTTATGAGGAAATCTAAGACGGCTTTTTTATACCTAAAGATTCCATGATTAAGCAACAAACCAAGATATGGGTCTTATTTTAGCCTTCTTTTCTAGCTAAAAATGTGTTACTGTGATTCTGTACTAATGCTGCCCAGAGCTTTTCATGAGACATCAGGACGGCTACTGCATGCCACCAGAACGAAGGGTGTCGAGGCTCAATACCCACACGGGTGTGGAGACATGCCTGGGGCACGGAGAGGCTGCCCTCCCTGCCAGCTCAGCCGAAGGCACGACGAAGAAAATCTGCTTCAACACGTACCTGATTAAAGTCTGGGTCCTTTTCTCCGTCTGGTTTAGCTTCTTCCTTATCCTCCTCTGTTTCGGAACTGCTCACATTCAGCTCCGGAGCGGAATCCTTCATCACCTGAACGTGCGAGGAAAGCAGAGACAGACGTAGGTCAGACCTCAGAAGATGAGTCACGGAGGGGCTTTGGCTGCCCACCGTTATCAAGAGGAGGGACACCTTTATCACCGCTGGGATCACACACACACACACCAGAGGTTCAAGACTCAGGGGCTCTGGATCCTCCTGTAACAGGTTAAGTTTATCCTGTGGTTTATTCTTGCATCTAATGCAGCCACCGTAATGTCAGTGATCTGCACAGAACAGTCACTGTGGTCGGCTTTAACGATGATGTTATTGTGCGGCAGTTCAGAGATGCTCTGCATTTCTCCCAGCACCCTGACTGTCCCGTGGTTCAGACGGCAGGAGGCCCAATGCTACGTGATCTAACTCACGGGGCACAAATGCTCTGGAGGCCGGTTCCTCGTCTGTCTTCTTCACCACCGTATCCCCAGCAGTGAAGCCATTCCAGACACACAGATGACATTCAGTAACTATTTGTGTGCCGAATATTCATTCCACCAGCAACCACATAACCATTCGTATTCAATTCCTGTCTAATTTTAATTTTTATACCAAAAGCTCCATGGAAACAAAAACGTGATCCTCGGCAGTCCTCGGGGAAACTCCCAACAGCAAGTGAAAAACACGAGCCTGACCATTACCAGCCAGGGCCACAAGAGGGACTGGTACCTTTTTATTATCCACAACTTTATGGACATAGATGGTGGCTTGAGTATATTCACGCAGGTCCCTCTGCTGTTGACACAGTAAGCCCTCTCTGCATTCTGGGCAGAGTTCTAAAGAAAAGGGAAATAGAAGACCCAAATATCTAAAAACATGTATCAAAGTTACCAGTGAGTATTCATTCAACAATTACTCATATTTTCTATTAACTGCTGAATTGTTGCACTGTTATATGCAAATAGCAACAACACAGAAACCCATTTACTATCAACAAATAAACGTACAAATCATGACATAATTGTATGATGACTCCCCCCCCCCACCCCCTCCGGGGAGTATTAGTTTGGACTGCCATGGGACCTTTAATTTTAAGTAGAGGACATAATATCCACATGCTCTTACTTCCCTTACAATGTCAACTCTTCACTACGCAAACCAAAAGCAGTATGAAAACTTACTAGGCTCAGAAATATACTGTGTTTCTGAAGGATTTACGTCTTCCACTTCGGTTCTTGTGATTTTAATTACATGATCCACAACAAACAGCTTTTGTATCATTTGCCACTCACTGGGCCATATGAGAGCTATACTGTGCAAAAAAACACAACATGCCTTAATTCAGAGAACTGATATCATCCATCAGTCTCCTAAACAGAAATCATCACAACCAGCATTTAATACAGAGGAATCAGAGGGGAAAGCCACATCATCAGCAACGAGGAACAGCAGTTTGGGTGTTTTTTTCCACAGAAACGAATGCTACCAAAGCAAAGAAACAAAATGGACTGAAGTTACATGAATCAACTTGGTTAAATCTCAAAAACCTAAATTGAAAAAGAAGGTAGTTGGATATGGTTTTTTACTGATTTTAGAGAGAAGGGAAGGGGGGTTAAGAAAAAAGTGGGGGGAGAGGGAGAGAGGGAGAATGGGGGAGGAAAGGGGGGAGAGGAAGAGAGGGAGAGAGAGAGAGAGAAACATCCATCGATTGCCTCCTTAGGCACCCCGAACTGGGACAACCACAACCCAAGTATGTGCTCTGATCAGCAACAGAACTGGCAATCTTTCGGTGCATGGTATGATGCTCCGACCAACCTAGCCACACTGGCCAAGGCTAGAAAAAATTTTAACCACGCAAAACATTACTGTGTGTGTGTGTGTGTGTTTTTAAAGAAATACTTTCTGAGGTGGATAACCCTCAAAAATTCAGGACTATTTGACCCAGTGATCCCACTTCTAGGAATATATCCCAAGAAACTAGAAACACCAATCAGAAAGGACATATGCACCCCTATGTTCATAGCAGCACAATTTACAATAGCTAAGATTTGGAAACAGCCTAAGTGCCCATCAGCAGATAAGTTGATTAAAAAACTGTGGTACATCCTCACAATGGAATATTTCACTGCTACATAAAAAAAAAAAAAAGGGGGGGGGGGGCGAACTTTTACCATTTGCAACAGCATGGATGGACCTGGAGATGCTAAGTGAAATAAGTCGGTTGGAGAAAGATAAATATCACACGATCTCACTCATTTGTGGATTATAATGAACAACATAAACTGATGAACAAAAACAGATCCAGAGACAGAGAAGCATCGATCAGATCATCAAACCTCAGAGGGAAGGTGGGGGAGGGTGGGGGTAAGGGAGAGAGATCAACCAAAGGACTTGTATGCATGCACATAGCCTAACCAATGGACACAGACACCAGGGGGATGAGGGCAGGAGCGGGGTGGTGGTGGTGGGGGGGGGGGGTGGTGGCAACGGGAGGATAAGGACACATACGTAATACCTTAATCAATAAAGAAAAAAGAATTCAGGACAGTGGTTACTGTGAGACAGTCAGGAATAAAAAGAGAAAAGGAGGAATAAAAGGTTAAGTATTGAGGGCCTTTCAATTATATTTGAATTATTTAACTTTTAAATAATTGGTGGCCCACATTTGTTTGCTTTATTATTATAGATATTTCCCCAACAAACAGGAGAGAACCTACCCTATGTATACACTAAGCTTCCTGCACTGATGTTAAAAAGTATTGATATAGGGCCCTGACCAGTTTGGCTCAGTGGATAGAGCGTCGGCCTGCTGACTGAAGGGTCCCAGGTTCGATTCCGGTCAAGGGCATGTACCTGGGTTGTGGGCACATCCCCAGTAAGGAGTGTGCAGGAAGCAGCTGATCAATGTTTCTCTCTCATTGATGTTTCTAACTCTCTATCTTTCTCCCTTCCTCTCTGTGAAAAATCAATAAAATATATTTTTTTAAAAAAGTATTGATATAGGAATAATAAACTCCCAAATTCTAACTTTGTCCTAGAGAAATATTTATGTTTCAATTTTCTTTTCATGGTTTACAGGCAAGGTCAGGGGCATTCTACCTATCTTATATAGCTATTTAAAATTTATTTTAAAAGACAAACTGGTAACATAATGGGTGAATGTCATAGATGAGCCCCTTTGGAAACACTAAAGGAATGGAACACAGTTTTGGTTTTAGGACCCTGAGATTCCAGCTCAGTGCCATGCTGCCTCCCTTCTACTTTATGAAGTCTGGTGGCTGCCGATAAAAACTACCAAGACCCCAGCTGTTATGTGTTCCTAGGAAAGAGGCCCATCTAGAGACACTGTTAGCAGCAGCTTCAGAGAAAGCAGGGCTCCAGGAAGAAACAAAGAGCAAGGTGCCCATGGTCGGCCTCTTGCCTTTTATGGAGTAGCAGGTCTTTTTTTTTAAAAAGTGCTCATTCTGGTAGAGTGAGTATATGAAAGAGGGAAAAAACCCACAATTCAGCAAGGGACTAGATTCTTAAAATGATAAGAAACTTGCTAACCATTAGAAACAGACAAATTGCATGAAGAGAAGAAACTCACAGTTTAGAATCTTCTTTGGTCATGGAAGCGAATGTAAACATGAGTCCCCCATGGGGACATAGAAGAGCACTGTTTCCGACCGATGACACGGGACTACATCTCGTAGGTTTCCTACTCAAATGAGACAAGGAGGATCAATATACTTCACTACTGCATGAGTAAACAGAAGAGTGCTCCATTAGTTAAAAATGAGAGATATATTGAAAAGGATACTAGTAATTAAATGTTTCTCTTGATTATTCCTTTAACTTAAAAGAAAGCTTTTAGCACATGCTAGAAAAAGTAACTAAAAAGGTATGATGATTAGAATCCATGAATTCTTAAAACACTAAAATCAACCCCCGAAAAAGGGAAATAGAAACATTTTTGGATTCTACCTGACAAATTTCCGCCATTCTTCTACAAAGAACTGTGACACAATGTAGAGGACATCTGTATCCTAGAACAGCAAAGTCACATTAAAGCAGGCATCAGCACACTGTGTTCTTAACCTGAACCCTTTAGGGAAACATGTTTTTCCATGCACTAAGCTTTATAAATAAAATGAAAACACAGCCCGCTACCAAGAAACAGAATTAGAGTAAAGCCCCCTGATTAGATAAAAACTAAACGAAGAGAATCAGAGAAGCTCGGGTTGTTTGGAAGCAATACAGCAGAAAAGCCTCTGAAACGTAAGATGCATTCTGTCCTTGGTGGGGATCCTTATACCTCTGGCCAGTTACTAAGACAAGGTCTGCTTTTGTCCTGGAATAAATTGGGGAGAGAAGTCTTCTGCTCGTTTGCAATCATCTTATGTAAGGCTTCGTTTTCTTCCCCTTCTCTTTCTAAAATCTGAAAGAGAATGAAGCAATCAACCATCTCCTGCTGACAGCCCGGGGCGTGCCTCCTCCCCACCCCCTCAGCAGAAGTTCTAACAAGGCTAATTCTCGGGAAGTGGTACAGGGAGGAGACTTGTGTTCAGTACCTTGCACTGTGAACAGCATTCTTTGTAACTGGGAAACTCGGGAGCCTTTGGAAAGTACTGCTGCAGTTTGCTCCAGGCCTCTTTAGAAACAAGTCTTCTTTCGTTTTCAGATATGCACAACTCCCCTGAGTATTAAAAAAAATTTTTTTTACATTTAAACCAAAAAAGTCAACATACAGCCTCCAAAAAAGATGTTTCCTATTTCTTAAACCTAAGAAAAATACAATTTTTCTTTGGTTTCAGAAATCTCTAATTTTGTTTATTTTATCTCATTCTAAAGGAACCATTCCTTTATGCCCTTCATTGTATCTGTGGTTGAAAAACCAGGCAATAAAGACAATTGCATGAGACTCGCGCTGTGCATTTCCTGTCTTTCTTCCTGCGGGTGAGAGGGGCTCCCGGGATCCTGGTGGCTCTGCGCGAGGCATTTCATCTCCACCCACACTCGCCTCACAATATCCTGCGGACTGTATTTCCTCCCATTTGATTGTGTTACCTCACTGAAATCATCCTGAATTAAAATGGTGTTTTCAAGGTGGTGTCCATTCTCTTGTTACCGATCCAAAGTTAAATAATAAAGTAATCTAGTATCCAACTGGTTAACTGTCCCCAGACAAGATCCTGTTAGTTTACGACTGCCATCACCCCAATCTTTAAAAATCCGCAGAGAAAAAAACAGGACCAGTGACCACCACCCTTCCTCTTGTTGGAAGGTCGGAAGGTCGTGGGAACGCCCAAATGGCAGAAACCTGCAACCTCAGCAGCCCCTCCTTGGTGCCTTTCCCCCACTCTACCTCTCACTCCATTTGTGGTTCTAGTTTTCATTGTTTCAGCTCTTCCTAACTGATGAATTAATGAACTGTCCCTACGTACCTATATGGGTCATTACCCAGAAAACCATCTGTAAGTTTCCAAGGCCACATGTTTTTCTATCCCCGTTTGCCAGGAACCTCCATGTTTGTTAAAAGTAATAAAGCTTTCTAAAGACAATAGCATTCTGCCCTAGCCAGTTTGGCTCAGTGGATGAAGCACTGGCCTGCGGACTGAAGGGTCCAGGGTTCGATTCCGGTCAAGGGCATGTACTTCCATTGCAGGTTCCCAGACCTGGCTGGGGGACATGCGGGGGGCAAACAATCAATGTGTGTCTCTCTCTCTCACATCGGTGTTTCTCTCTGTCTCTCCCTCTCCCCTCCTCTCTCTCTAAAAGTCAAATATCCTCAAGTGAGGATTAAAATAAATAAATAAAAGTATACATAAAAAAAGAATCTTGAGACACACACTGGTGAATATCACTGGTTTAAAAAAGAAACAATTACTAAAATAAATAAAGTAAGTATCATCCTTTGCTTCATGTGTTTCACCTAATAATAAATAAACTGAGAATCAGAGAAATTAATACACCTAGGGCTCCACAGCTGGTGAATAATGAAGCTGGACTATGAACCCAGGTCTGTTTCATTCAAACCCCGTAACTTCTAATACCTATAAATATATCTTCATAACTGCCACCCTTCACCTCTTATCGACCTTTGAATAATCCCAAGAAAAGATTACTTTGCTTTAATAAACTTAATACCAGAGAAAAATAGGTCACAATGTAAAATTTAACTTTTTTTCTGAGTAGGCTATTAACTTAAATTTCCTCTGGGGCTATAAAAGCTTACTCCAACAAGCATACCCTAAGACACAATTAGGAAGTATTTTTAAAAGATTATGCAAACCTAGTCTAGCACATCTTTATAGTGAAATAGAATGCAGCCATAATAAGGAAAGGTATGATTTCTATGACCTGACTGTCTAGAAAGCACTCCAAGGCAATTAAAATTAAAAATAATTTTAAGTGGTTTCCTTTTTTCCCTTCTTAAAAAAATAAAGGAAAAAACTCTTCCTCTGTATATGAGTGATATAACCCAATAGGTTTAAAAAAAAAGGGGGGGGGTGTTGTTATAAAAAAATAAGAAAATTCAAAACAAGCACTTCCAGGAAAAAAAATGATGTTAAAACTGCATTTACTTCCAGTTGCCTCTTGAAACACCATTAAACCACAGTAAAGGGAATTTTTAAAAAGATCTCAAATCACAATGATGGATGAGCAGAGAGGGAAGAACAGCAACAAAAACTTTAGAAGCTTAAAAGCAGACATATGAAACATATGAAAAATGAATTCTAAATTGGCAAAAGTCAAGAAGTAACAAGATTTATACACTGCACAACTGCCTAGAAATTGCGGGCACCTGCAAGTACAGGCGGGGTTAAAAAAAACCCAGAATGAATTAAAGTCTATTGAAGAGGCAGTTAATATTTTCTGCTTCCCTCTACCCACAAAGAAGACCATAGCTTCTCTGGTGACATAAAGCGCCAGACCTCTACACCAGGGGACACAAAGCACAGAGATGAGGGAGGCAATGAGCTGACACAAAGGCAGTCTCCCAAGCCCTCTTCTCTCTACTACCCGAGAACAGGCTCAGCCATGGCTGCATTTCCCAGGCAGGAGAATGGATGCCTATGGAGAAACTGGAGCAGCCCAAGAGCAGATACTGACATTGAGAATTCCCCAGTGAGGCCCCCCTGGGTGCACCCGGCCTCCACAAGCACCTCGCACAATAAGGGAGGGAGGTAGGGCCTGCACCAGGGCAGACCAGTGTGAGATGCCAGTGAACACAGAGGAAAAAAATCTTACAAGCTGCCAAAAGGGAATGAAAGGAATCACCTATGCATATTGGACAAAATGCACAATGAGAGGTAGTGCAAGTCCTTTAAATTTCTGAATAAAAGTCTAATTTGAGACAATTATGCACCTAGGTAAAATTATCCATTAAATGTGGTGATCTTGAGCAAATGATTCTTAAATCTCTATGCCTCAGCTTACTTACTCATCAGTACGATGGATATGACAGTAATACTGACTTCTCAGCATTGTTTTATAAAAGAGTTAATCCAGCATGTGTATAAACATTCAGTACATGCCCACTATCATCTCACTACTGCTTGTATTCAGTACTACCATCACTACCACCAGCACCAGCACCAGCACCATCACAATCCAGGAACAAATCTATGTATATAAAAGGCTAATGCACTAAGTGTCTGACAGTCCAACCAGTCGCTATGATGCTCACTGACCACCAGGGGGAAGGCGCTCAACAGAGTTGTGGAACTGCAGTGACTTAGCAGCGGCGGTTCTGGGGTGCCACACCCCAAAATCAGAGAGGAGGAGCCCGATTCCTCATGGGGCGGCACAATTCCACCTCCGCCCAAGGGTTATGTTGTTGCTGGGGCACTATCGGCCCTGAATCTGGTTTATTGCACACTTGTGTTTCTGTTCCACACCCTGTAAAACAGCAACTTTGCAGAGTGCCCTCTCACACTCCGGAAATCCTCGGGGATGGACAGCAGGTTTTGACCTGATCCCAGCAGGCCAGGCCAAGGGACCCCACCAGCCGGAGGGACCCCGTTCACTCCGCAGACACTGGCAGACCACTGGAGGTTGGCTCCAGGGCATGTCTGGCCCACCCCGCCGGCCACCTTCTAATTAATTACCTTTCAATGTGCACAAATGTGTCCACTGGGTCACTAGTTTTAATATAAACCTAATGAGTCAAGTGGGTTTCTAAGGTCCACTGTCCTACACTTGAAAAACCTGATCTCATAGACACGGTACATGGACAAGTGATGTCCACAAAAACAGTAGTTAAGAACTATCCTTTAAAAAGTACATCAAGAAAAGGCCAACAAGTCCCAGATCAAGCTAAGGAACTTTAAAAAACAGCTCGAGCACGATTTCTGCTGAGGAGTGCAGCACACGTCCTGAAATCACACTCAGCTCTGCCAGGCTTTCTAATCAAAACTGTAATATGAAATGACAAGATGAGACAGAAGGTGGGAAGACCAAGCAAAAGTCAGTGGGCGAAGGAATGAGATGACAATCTGAGTTCTGGCACTGTTTCAACCGTGGGACAGATCACAGATCAAGCATTCCTCAACTCTCAAAAGGAAGGCACTCATCCTGGGTCCACATCTATGCTGTGAAGGTAAAATAAGAGATGACAGAAAGTGTTTCCATAAAAACTCATCTACTTTTGGCCATTTACTCCGCCTCCTACTTATTTATTCAATCTGTCTACCACCCAGGAGGCCACATCTCTCACATTTGTGCTCCTGCTGTGACTCCAAGTGTAAGGAGGACAAACTGGGCAGCAGGTGATGGGATGAGAAGGAGAGATGGGCTTGGGATGCAGAGACCTGAATCCAAGTCCCAGGATGACCCCCCTCACCACCTAGTAGTGTGGTTAGTAAATGAGAATGCCACTTAGCTAGTAAGCTAAAGCGCAGTGAGACAATATCCAGAAAGACCAGCATGCAAGGACCATTCAGGGGAGAATTATCACCACTGTCATCAAGGACCCTCGATATAAAAGGGCTGGAGTGCACGACGGTGTGAGACATTATGTATTGGTTCATAATGAACCAATGGAGTAAGAACTAAAATCAGGAATTTATTAGGACCAACAAGCATTCTGAGATTGGGCAATACATTAGCACACAACAAGAAATACACATGCCTTGGCTGATGTGGCTCAGTTGGTTGGGCGTTGGCCGGTGTACCAAAAGGTTGAACCTCAGTAAGGGACAGGCAGGAGGCAGCTATTCAATGTTGTGCTCTTACATGGATGTTTCTCTCTCCCTCTCCAAAAGAGAAAGAAAGAAATGCGCAGACGTGGATTAGTAGAATAAACCAAGTTTTTAAAAAGGGGTGAGGGGTCCTTACATAGCATAAGGCTTTGAGAAGCAGAGACCCACTTGACTTTCAGTGCTAACAGAATGGATAATCATGTCTCATATATAAAGAATCCCTTGCAGAAAATTACTTATTAATAGTGAGCACTAACTAGGCCAAATAAGAAATATATAAACAAATAAACAGGAGTAAGTGTCTAAGAAACTAAACCAAAAATACCCCTAATAATAATAATCCTATTAAAACTCTCCCTAATATGCAAATCGACCGAACAGTGGAAGACTGGTCGCTTTGATGCACACTGACCACTAGGGTGCAGACACTCAACACAGGAGCTGCCCCCAGATAGTCAGTGCACTCCCACAGGGAGAGCACCGCTCAGCCAGAAGCTGGGCTCAAGGCTGGCGAGCACAGTGGCGGTGGCGGTGGCGGTGGGAGCCTCTTCTGCCTCCACAGCAGCGCTAAAGCACAGCAAGCTGAGCAGTAAGGATCTGCGAGCAGGCGGGTGGTAAGTAGCCAGAGGTCCCGGACTGTGAGAGGGCGCATGTGGGGCTGAGAGTCCCCTCCCCCCTCCCAGGGCACCAATTTTGTGTACCAGGCCTCTAGTAAGAAATATATGAACGCTGTTCTCAAAGTGTTCAAACTGGACAAAGACAGTCATGGGAAATAACTGGAAGTCTTTCCTTCCACTCAGATAGCCCTTCAAGGAGACAAGTGACAAAAAGTTTCTTCTCCACTAAAATATAAGAAAAATCATATATACGTTTTTTTGCAAGGAGAAGAAAAGGTGTGCGAGCCATTGGCCTGAAACCGGGCTGTAGAATCTAACAGTTAAGAAGGGTGTGAGAATAGAAACATCAGAATCAAGTACAGTTTAGAAAAACCATGGCTGCCGTATTAGGGCCTAATTCCTAAGAGAAAATACAAAACCGTTAACAAAGTATTTACAATATGCTCAAGTCTGACAACAGAAGATTTATGCTTCTAGCTTACCATGTGGACACAGAATGTCTTCATTAAAATTTAATTCCTCTTCTTCTTCTTTTCTTTCTTCCTTTGATTCATCTAATCAAAAGAAACACAGAGAGTAACTTGCTCTGGCTGTTGTATTTAAAGGTCAAAGTAGCAGAGATAATACTCTGCACAATTTTGAACAAAGCAAACTTAAACGTTCTAAAAATTTGACCCAAGTAATTCCTACACAGTTCTGCTAAGAGGTGTTATATTTCTTTCTTTAAAAGGAAAGAATATCTGAATAGCAGTTTTCCTTTTTAAAGAATTAGATTATGTAAGAAAATGTGCTTTTTTTTTCAAATTGAAAAATAATTTACATATCCTTCCATTAATTCTAGTCAAGGTGTTCAGAACTGTGTCATAAACCAAGTTAATAATCTACATGTCATGTCATTCTCTTATTTTAAGGGTTGAACAGAAAGCTCTAGAGGCCAATGAAATAAAAACCTAACCTTTAACGTCAAACACATATAGTAAGAACTTTGCTTTTCCTGTTAACATTTCTCTCCCAGTATCTACTTTTCTTACTTGCCCAAGCTGTATCAACGTCAATTTTTAGTTGTGTATACCAGGAACATGATCAAATAAGAGAAGTCTTGAGTATCAGATCAGAATGGTTATCATATGCATGGGTTTTCCAAGTTAAGAACACAATACATTTTTAGTATAATTAATACATAAATAAAAAGAATATCTGCTAAACATTGAAAAGTTCAAGTAGAGAAATGAGCAAAGGAAGGACGTGATCAGGTAACTCTGGCATCTGTCATACACACACAAATAACACCTCAAATATATGATGAGGGTCGACCTCAGTGATGGTTTTGAAAGATATAAGCTTTGACACTGCTAGTCATTTTTCATATATATATGTCTGGAAAAAATGGATGTGACTGATGTACTCTTTATATTGATGAAGGCATGAGGACATAATTTCTAGAGGAAATGTACTGCTGTGTGTCAATTTATAGCAATTATATATGGAGATAATTCTCTGGTCCAGCAATTTCTACAAATTCATTTGAACTTCAAATTTAAGTGTTAAAAAATCATAGTTTCAAACTAATAATGGCTTTGGTGTTTTTATTTTCTCAAAAGGGTAGTGACAGGAAAGATCCACACCAAGCAAAATTGAATGATATAATATGGCTGAATGCAGAAAATGCACGGTATTTCAGTAAAATGGTTAAGAATATTTAAATGATAAAAATACATGTATGTAAATAATATCTGAAGAGAAGATTAAATGAAATAATTGCTTCTGGATCACTAATTTACCTCTGAATTAGTAAACTGATCAAACCTCTAGTTTCCATTTTAAATCTAAAAATAGTTCCTATGACTTAATTTCCCTTGATATCTTATAAAATATTGGCTATAACATTAAGTTTAGTGGTTTCTTAGACCAGAGGTCGGCAAACCGCGGCTCGCGAGCCACATGCGGCCCTTTGGCCCCTTGAGTGTGGCCCTTCCACAAAATACCACGTGCAGGCGCGCACATACAGTGTGAAGTTGACTTAAAACTTTAAGTAAAGTTTATTAAGTTAATTTTAGGGAACGTTGTGGAGTGAAAGAAGATGTAGTGTCGAGGATTGAGAAAGGTATGTTGACATGGTTTGGACATATAGAGAGGATGAACGAAAGGAGGTAGATGAAACAAGTATACAAGACGAGTGTGGATGGGAGAGTTGGGAGGGGTCGACCTCAGCGAACGTACCTCAATCAGACTGAGGACGTTTTTAGCAAAGGCCCGCTTAGGAGTACCCTAATTAAGTTAATAACATATATAGTTTAAGTTTAAAAAATTTGGCTCTCAAAAGAAATTTCAATCGTTGTACTGTTGATATTTGGCTCAGGTGACGAATGAGTTTGCCGACCACTGACTTAGACTAACATAATTTCCTATTTGAAAGCATAGCTTCAAAAAAAAAAAAAGAAAGAAAGAAAGCAAGCTCAGAAAATGTTATAAGCAAAAAGCTGCCTTCTCACCCGAAGCACAAGCTCTTCTACTTGAAGAAGGCAACCTGTACGTGTGGCCGAAAACCCACCACCAAAACGCCGAGCTCACAGCACACTCTGCACCTTGCAGCAGCCTTCCCTTTCTGAGCTGCTCAACCTGTGACCCTTGCTCAACTGCATTAGCTGAAACATTTTTCATTTGTTATGAGGCATTTTTTTAGAGGTTTAGGTTTAATAAACATTTTCTTTAAAATTACATGGATGGGGATAAAACCAATTTTACTAAAAACAAATGTTTACAATTTGGTGGTAGAATTCCCAACCATCGACACAGGTTTTAGAAGGTACCTTTATTCAAGGAGTTGCCATTCATTTTTCCATTGCTTTGGTCTGCGTCACCATCTTGCTCATCTAGCTGTTCAAGAGCCAGCTGGCGCCAGCTGCGCAAGGACGATTTTCCCACCCAAAAGCCATCACTGCTGAGGAACAGAGAGAGGGTGAAATCATGCATGTCACGTTTCCTCACATCCTCGCCTCCCTTTTTTTCCTTGTAAAGGCCACACCTAAAATGAATCTCAAATATTCAAAGTCTGCTGTGATATACAATTTCTCTAACCCACTTCTTCATTTAGGCCATTTTCACTCCTTACTACTGAACTGCAGGTACTGTTCTCATCCTAAATCTTACCCTGCTTCTCCTAACCCTCATTTACATTCATGCCGATCACATCAATCAACTGGCTGCTTTCTTTCACTTGATTACTATTCACAATTACATACAGCTGTGCCTCTAAGTATACACAGACGCACTCACATATATACATCCACGTCTACACATAAACACACATTTAAGCTGTTTGTGGAATGACTAAAAATGGTGAACGAGATTAATCTTTGTTTGGGCAATACACAACTTAAATCAAATCCAGACATAATAAATGCCATCTGCCTCTATTGTATCTGAATCCACAGGTACTATAGGGAGGGGGGCTCAAAGAACCCTGGATGTTCTTTTCTTTCTTTCTTTCTCAATTGAATTTATTGGGCTGAATGTTTCTGACGAGGATGCTCTGCTAGGTACCATTTGTTAACACACATATTTCATTTTCTAGATCTAAGGCGACCACCACCAGACCAGGCAGGATGTTCCACCATGGCTTTCTGTAATTCCAGGCCAGAACACAGGCTTACACCCCTGTCTTGGTCTGACCAAGCCCCAGGTCCACATCTCTGCTTCTATCTTTCTAATGATGGAATACTCTCGCAAAGGCTGTGTGACTCAGCTATCTATATCTTTACCACACTGGCAATCACTGCAAAATTTAATCTGGCTCTGCCATGCACATCATCATACTTCTTTCTTCAAAAAAATCCAATTCCCTCTTAACTAAAAATAATCAGCTACTTAGTTAGTACTTCTTATTTTTTCTTAGTTTATCATAAACAATATAGGGTGTAACATACCCCTTTATTGTTGTTTTTAGCAGATTAGTAACAGTTTTATAATCTTCATTTAGTTGGTTCTTCAGACGCAACATACGACAGCGTTCTACTACACATTCCTTACACAGGGCTTTCACTAGGGCCAGAGAGAATGAAAGAAAATACAGTTTATTCATATACATATTTCCTGTTAGGAAAATGCTTTCACCATTTCACAAAAGACAAAATTCTAAACCAAAGTCACAAATTTTGACAACATAGCAAATTGATATATATCACCCTAGCTGATTTGGCTCAGTGGATAGAGCGCGTTAGCCTGTGGACTCAAGGATCCCAGATTCGATCCCCAGTGGGAGGGCATGCAGGAGGCAGCCAATGATTCTCTCTCATCACTGATGTTTCTCTCTCTCCCTCTCCCTTCTTCTCTGAAATCAATAAAAATATTTTTTTTAAAGGCAGTGGTTTCCAAACATTAAAAAAAAAAAACTACAGCAGAAGATGCAGGTTTAGAAGGTAGATGATGATTTCAATTTTTAAAATACTGAATTTAACTCACTCTATCCAAAATGTTTACATTTCTTTATGACATCAGTATTTTTAATGGCAGTGAAATATTCTACCATCCTTTTTCTATCTCTCTCCCTCTCCCTTCTTCTCTGAAATCAATAAAAATATTTTTTAAAAATTGATATATATCCTAAATTATTTTGTAATGTTAATATCAAGATATAACACTGTTCGAAGAGATAAAATGCTATATGTCAAAAGTATCTGTACCATGAAACGCAAAGTTTACAGGGTTTAGATGCAAATTTCACAAGACCCTAATCAAATAATGGTGGGATGGGGAGTCAATGCATCTGACAACCATAAATGTAATGTGAATTGTTTAAGAGCTTCATGTGAACACTTCAAAGCACAGAACACGAAAGGGAAAACAAAAAGCAAGGCCTGCTTTAAAGCACAGTGCCAGGAATCATATGAAATTTGATTCTTTGGAAGATCATCCCATTGCTATTGATTGACTGTGAATCAAAAACCTAAATTTAGAAAACTCCAGATATGTACAAGAGCTGGATCATATAGTTAAGTGCCAGTTTTTATGCAGTAAGTGGTACATGATCAGAAAATAGCACTTATTTTAGGGAAAAAGAGGATGATGGTTTCGTTTATTAGACTCATCTATAGCTTGCGTAAGGGGTGGGGGACTGTGTTGCCAGTTAAAAAGAAATGTTATGAGGAGAGGTAACCAGAACCAAATAGATTATGGGTACTACGTGGTTTTTTATACAGCTCTATATTCAGGGTAGAATCACACAGATTCCATTCATAAGCTAAGTAACAATCTGCAGATCTCATACTGTTAAAAGTCACTGTAGCAGGGAGGCATAAGATCTATAATCAACTAGACCAGGCTTCGAGTATTTTGATTTAAAAATATATATATTTACTATTCTTTTAGAGACAGAAACATCAATTTCTTGTTCCATTTAGTATATGCATTCATTGGTTGATTCTTGTATGTGCCCTGACCAGGGATCAAACCCATAGCCTAGGATCCATGGTCGGCAAACCGCAGCTCGTGAGACACATGAGGCTCTTTGGCCCCTTGAGTGTGGCTCTTCCACAAAATACCAAATGTGGGCACGCACGTACAGTGCAATTGAAACTTCGTGGCCCATGCGCAGAAGTCGGTATTTTGAGGAAGAGCCGGTATTTTGTGGAAGAGCCACACTCAAGGGGCCAAAGACCTGCATGTGGCTCACAAGCCACGGTTTGCCGAGCCACAGTTTGCCGACCACTGTCCTAGGTGCATCAGGTGATGCTCCAAATGACCTACTCAGCCAGGGCTCAAGTACTTTGAAGAGTAATGTCTAAAGCAACAAAATACTACCAGATTGATTTTCTCAAAAGTATCCTATTCTGTCTGCTTTGAAAAAAGAAAAGAAAAAAAACAATGAGCAGTACCAGTTTCCTAACATTGTAAATATACCATGTATAACGCCACTTCTACTTTATTTAGCAAATCCTTCTTGCGGTGTAAGGAACATTTGGTCTGGCTTAGTTTGGGCCCAATGATCATAAAGATGACATGATGAGGACCTAGAGCATCCCTCTTTTTGAAGTAGAGAAGACATCGGAAATTACCAGTTAGCCTCGGTCCTCCTCCGTATCTACTGTAGAAAACGTCAGCTGCATATTCAGATATTCTCTTCATGATCGATATTTTATCAGGATGCAGCTTGTCATGGGAACAAAGGCAGGCGTGGTTATCGATAGGCTTGGTAGGTGTCGACTCATCCAACCACTTCTGCAGCCACTCGAGAGAGACGAACTCATAGGGCTCTGAGGAAGAAAGGGAGAGAGCCTATGTATTTGTACAGCTTTTAAACTAAGTGATACATTCATTTTTCTCAAATGACAATGCAAACTCTGTCCAAAATTAGAATCAGAAGAATCATTGTTGAGGGGGAAATGTTTGATAAGCATGACACAGAGCTCCATTTAACTACCCTGTCCTTCCCTACCCGTCCCTTGGTGCCAAGGGGCTGTGTGAGAGGCCGCGCGTGACGGGGGCGAGTCTGCTCAGGGCCTAGGAGATCGGCTGGTATTATTAACCACATTCTACAAAGGAGGTATCCGCAGAGAGAAGTGTCTTGCTTGATAGCACAGCAGAGCTTTGATCAGGACACCGTGACTGTTGACAAGCCGCTCCATGCTGGCTCGAAAATCACATAACCTCATCCCCTACTGTTTATTCCATAAAACCCTTCTCACCAATCCTTTTCATCAATACAGAATACACATCTGAAAAAGCACGACTGAGTTCCAAGTCAGAGATTAACCCCATCAGTTACAAGCGCACTTTAAGAGCCTGTTTCAACTACTGAGCTTTTCTTCATCCAAGATAATATGGGCATATGGATGAAAAGGCAACTGATTTCCCCACCCAATCCATAGCATGACCTATTCATTACATTTGTTTCAAGAAAATAAGCGATTTTAAACAAATTCCAGGATGAAATACACTAGAATTGAATTTCAATTTGAAGTAGTAAAAATTAAGACAAAACCAAACACCTCAACATGAGTTTTAATTTGGGAAAATGAGAGTGCCCGAGTTCCCTACAAGCCAAAATTAAAGGTAAAGGGCCAGCTTTGATTACTTACAAAGATCTCCAGTGAGTCCAAGCATAAAACATAGAAGAAAACATACAGAGGTTGAATTTATATATTTGTATTATGTACTACTTCTGATGAGATCTGAGGGATGGACAGTTCACCTCAAAGCCCATTTTGAGCAATTGTATACTTCTCTTGAGTTACAAATCTAGAAAACTAACTCCCATCTTAGGTTTAGTATAAAACATTTCAAGGTTTACAAAAACAAAATTCAGAATTTTTGAATGTCTTGTTTGTGCTAAAACTGTACTGATCAGCTCAGACGCAGCTGCAGAGGAAGAGCAGGTGACTACAGGCTGAGACCAAGGTCTAATCCAAGTTCTGCCAAGAAACTGAACTTGAGCAAGTCACTTAAACTCTATGCTTCAAGTCTTTTATTTGTAAAATGAAGGTAATAATACCTGCCTTCTACCTACCTCACAGGGATGTTGTTGAATATAAAAGATAAGATATGTGAAGCATTTTGAGCTTTTTGGAAGAAAAGAGATACAGAAAAGTTAATTATACATTCACACAATATATTAAAGAGGAGACCTTAAGATTTAGTAGAGGTAACATGGCCATGGCATTTCACAACATATAATGATATGGTTAATGAAATTTAAAATACCTCTCATTGTTATTTGCCACTTATCAAGTTTAACTTGGCAGGGATAGAGTTAAGAAAGCAAAATCCCTTTCTAAGAAAGGAAAATCAAAGTCTTAGCAGGTTTGACCTTTCCCCAAATAGTCACATCAATTAAAATTTAGTAACTTAAGGCTGTCAAAGGAGGGAAAACAGGATTGCGACACAGAGCAACATTCAAGAAGGATTCACCAGGTGTTCCTGTTTGCCCCACAGCTGGGGAGGGGTAAGTGCAGGACAATTACCTGCTGTTTCTAAGCGAAAAAATAAGAATCTTTACCTTTATAAGAAATCTAGAGAAACTAAAAGAGCAAAAAGCATTCCTTGCTAGGGGGTGTCTGCTGGATCCAAAGCCCAGAGTGACTCTACCCTGGCCCATACAATAGCAACGGACTCAACGGCAATTAGTTCAAGACAACATTTTCCAATTCCCTACCAGAGTGAACTTCCCAGTGAAGCTTCTTCCTGTTTGGGTTCAATGTACTACATGAAGGTTAGAAAAATCACTTGTGGTTTATCATAAGGAACAGAGCGGAGCCTGGACCTATGATTCTGGTGTAATTCCATACTCCCCAGGTGTGCAGATTTCAGGCGCCAGTCTGTGTGCTGGGAAACCCATGGAAGGCTGTGACTGTGGTCACAGAGCTTTCTTTCCTTTTCCATCCCACCACGTTAGAGTTGGATCAATCTATGCCCAGAGGTTCCCCGACAGTCAAGGTCTAGCATACATCTTCATGGTTAGGTTAGAGTCCGCGTGGGGACCGCTTTTTACACCACAAATGTTTCTGCCCGAAAGGCTCCTGGCAGGTTCTCAAAGATGTTCTCTACTTCTGTGATTCATAAACTACCTAAGCATTGCCTTCCAGAGGCATGGGTAAGCCAATTTGCCAAATAGCCACTTTCTTTAATGATCAATCTGGAGATAATACACTATAAAATCTCAGCATGTGACAACCCAGCAAAGCTATGTTAAAACATTTAACAAAGGGAAATGCACATTTGGGTTCAAAGTTATAATATTTTAATGCCTGGATTTTGAACAAAGTATTTTCTTTTGGAACATCATGAAGTCTAGAAAGATTGAGTCATCAAAAATATTTAAAATACTTTGTCTACAGATAATTTAAGATGATTACAGCACAGTCCTTATAGACGGAATGAAAACAGCCAGGAGAAGCACAAGCATGTGCTGACTTGACACATAACATCTTTGGACCATGCAGATTTAAAGAGTGGTTCCAAAGAGCATTTTCCTTCAGGCTCCGTAAATCCCTTTCTCTTGTCCAATGAATTATGAAAATGGAATAAAGTTCAAAAAATTGATTCCCAGTTCCGAGCTCCGATGACTGAACTTACAACTTTGAATCATATGTTCATTTCCAAATCATTTCCAAGAAAATTAAGGTCAGTTTAATTCTTTAGGACAATCCCAACTCTTGGAACAGAGTGACAGTAATAGGTTACAAAGAAAGCTCAGAATCAAATCATTTAGAAAGAACTTTTAAGCCCTGGCCGGTGTGGCTCAGTGGGTTGGAGCATTGTCCAGTACACTGAAGATTTCGGGTTCAATTCCCAATCAGGGCACATACCTACGTTGCAGGTTTGATCATCAGTCAGGACCTATAGGCGAGGCAACCAATCCATGTTTCCCTCTCTCTTCTTTCCCCTCTCTCTAAAAATCAATGAACATATCCTCCAATGAGGATTTAAAAATAAAAGAACTTTTAAGAGGCATTCTCCAGATTTAGCCATTTATATTCATCTTTTGTTTAAAGTTGTAACAGTAATGGAAAATTAAGATTATAAAAAAGACAAAACCCATAAGTACAATTATGCTTGAGTATTTATGTTCTAAAATTAGGATTAAATTGCCTCTTCTTTAAGTAGAAATTGGGTTTAGAGGAATTCATGTCTATGAAAGGACTAAGACAACATATTATTACAAATGGCATACCAGCTTTAAAAAGTTGAGGTTTCCTTTTTGAGGCATTAGGTAAACTTACAGTAGAGGGATGAGCTGGATTATGTACAACAATTCTTAAGAAATTAAAGGTCAGCAGAATGCTTTCCTATTCTTAACATAATATTTGATATTAAATTTCAAATTAATCCTAAGAAACAGTACTCATATTAAAGAATGCCTGTTGAATACTTCGAGGGTACAAAATATACAAGGAAACCAAACAGCTGAGCTGCCTCCATTGTAACCCAATCCAATTTTTCCTTAAGAACAAGTTACTATCTCACAAAATAGGAATATTTATTTCTTCTTCTATGAAGAGTGCAGACCTAAACCTTATCATTAAGAGCTTCCCGTTTTTAAAAGTACATGATAATGAAAATTATATGAAATGCTACACATCAAGTTATTGCTGATTTACATGGCAATTTCATAGTCTATAAGGCTGGCATTAGTGAATTCTAAGACAGGGAAGGGAAAAGTTAGTTCATACACATTTGTGAACATAAAACAAGGCACTCAATGGCAACAGTGCTGTCCCAGAATGTCTTACAGACCAGCTCCAGCAGGTAACCTTTGGTACAGCTCCTTAACCTCTTCGTGCTTTGCTTTGCCTTTGTCCACACTTTGCTTACGCATCTCAGCCATCTCAATACACCACTCTTCAAACTTGGAATTATCCCGATCTACCAGCTCTTGAAGGAAGGCTATTCAAAACAGAAGGAAAAAACAAAACTACTTTATCCTATTTTCAGACACTGAACCATGCTGGTCTCTAAATCATATCAAATAGATCATGCTGGCTCATATTTTGGTGGCAGCTTCCTAACTATGGTCTCCTTTTCTGACAGAGACCCCCAAACTGAAAGCAAAAGTGAAACCGAAGACAGACACTAGAGTGCGAGTCCCCACCTGGCTATCCATGACATTACAGCCAACCAGAACCATCAAATGGCTCAGAAACACAACTTCAAGATACATGCTACTGCCCTGGCCAGTGTGGCTCAGTTGGGTGTCGTCCTGTGCACCGAAAGGTTGCCAGTTCGAATTCCAGTCAGGGCACATACCCAGGTTTTTGGTTCAATCCCCAGCCGGGGTTCATCTGGGAGACAGCGATGTTATTCTCTGATATCAATGCTTCTCTCTCTCTCCGTTCCCCTCTCTAAAAACAATAAAAACGTATTTTCTAAAAATTAAAACACACACACACACATGGTGCTGCAGAGCACAGAACAGTATTAGATAAAATGGCAACAAAAGAATGCAACAGGCCAGTAGCAACTTTCTTCTTTTTTGAAATCTAGAAAATACTTACAAATAAAACCAACTGCTCTTTATAAAATGTGTTTTTATTGATTTCAGAGAGGAAGAAAGATGGACAGAGAGAAACGTCAATGGTAAGATAGAATCATTGATCTGCTGCTTCCTGCACGCCCCACACTGGGGATCAAGCCAGCAACCCAGGCATGTGCTCTGACCGGGAATCAAACCATGGCCTACAGGTTCATAGGTCAACGCTCAACAACTGAGCCACGCCAGCCAGGCCCAAACTGCTCCTTAAATACTCCTGGATTACTTATTGGATTTTTAGAAATTGCTTTTTTTTTTTTTTTTTTTTTGCGGGGGGTAGGGAGGTTCGATGGATTAGTTCCGTTAAAGGCTCCCCCCCCCCTTTTTTTTAAAATATATTTTATTGATTTTTTACAGAGAGGAAGGGAGAGAGATAGAGTTAGAAACACCGATGGGAGAGAAACATTGATCAGCCGCCTCCTGCACATCTCCCACTGGGGATGTGCCCGCAACCCAGGTACATGCCCTTGACCGGAATCGAACCTGGGACCCCTCAGTCCGCAGGCTGACGCTCTATCCACTGAGCCAAACCAGTTTCGGCAAGGCTTCCTTATTTTAAAAACTCACTACTTTAAAGCAAATTTGTGAATGATTATATCTACTTTCATGAATGTTTACAATATGCAATCAACCTATATTAATAACAAAAACAATCTGTTCTTGTCATTGACCTTTCAGCATGGTATTCTAAAATATTTGCCTTACACAATCTTGGAAAGTTGCTTACCTGGTACCTGAACAGATGTATTGGGCTTTTCTTGAGTTTGAAGTCTATAAACCAACATGTATGCATTTCGAGAGCAGTGAGTTCCTTTGCCACACTTCGGTTTACGTGTCTGGGACTTAGAAGGTTCTGCTGAGGTAGGGAAATCAAAAGATGATTAAATTAGAATGCCTAGTTGGTTTTAGCTTTCATGAGGGTGGGGTGGACTTAAAAATAATTCCTACAATATATGACCAAGAAACTTTTACATGGATCTAAAACATTAAAATGCAACACAAATTTAGCAGGCTCTATAGATGTTTGAATCTTTAAAAAAGTCTCCTACCCCTCCCCCCACTGCCTTGCCTGCCATATTCCATTCTCAGAAAATGTTAAGTACTGTTTTTCATGAGAACATACCTAGAACAATAAAAGTACTATTACTCGAGTTTTATTTTAATATTGGTCTTAAATTATAAAAATAAATCCAGACTTAATTCAATTGCCCAAAGAAATAAAATTAACACACACACACACACACACACAAGACACTCTAATGAGAAAAAATAATAAAATAATCAGTAGAAACACTAAATGTTCTACCTGGTCTATAAATACCTACTATTCTTGTAATAGAGTATTTTCTATTTTTAAACCACAAGAATAGTCAGCACATGGAGATCTGTAGAAAGATTGCCCACATTCCTTGAAAGCCAGCGAAGCCAGCCAACTGCCATGTCCCTCCCTGATTCCTTGGAAAAAAAGTTCTGATCCATTAAAAAGAACAGTGGCAAAGAGACACATGCTTATTCCCGTTCCTTTTCCCTTATTTAGATCCCAGGTCAAACCTCACCCCAAAATGGCAAATATGGTAAGAAAGTCATGAAAACCTCAGCCAAGATGGCTCCTACCGGAAGACCCATGCACTCCTTCAGGGAATAATGGGTATTTTGGACTAAGAAAACTAAGTGGATGAGAGCCCCATACTAAGACACTATTTTAAGAAGTACTTTTTAAGGCAGACCTCATCACTACAAAATGGCAAAAAGTTTCCTCCCCAGAGGTGCTGCTCCCCACTCCATGGGATAAGATACTCCACAGGAAGGAGCAGGTACCATCCTTGGAGCCACCACGTTCCCTTGCTGTAATTATTGCTAAAAATAATTTCTTGACCCCAAGGAAAGGACTACAAATCCTACATATTAAATCTACTAGCCATCATTTTTAGTTTAATACTTACCATCCTCTCTCCCAATTAACCTGATAATTGAAAATATTGAAATAGTTGCCTTCAAACATGGCATTATAGAAACCACCTCTGGAGCAAAATCTTTTTTTTTTAATTTAGGCATTGCTAATAAAAGATGTTCAGAGATTGTATTTAAGAAATACAAATATCCCTGACAGTCCATTAACAATCTTGAACCATAATAATTTATCACAAATATTTCCGGCAAAAAAATATTTATATTTTAAAAGGGCACTCACAACTTAAAGGTTTTACCTAGATCTTCCTCAATCCCTAGTTGTAATTTCTTGCCCTCCATCTTTTCTATGTCTTCATCATTAAACTTATACCATTCACCAGACTGCGGATCTTTCACGTGGGCAATGTAGTGGCCAGAATAAGCACTCACTCCTCTGTGTATGAGAACTGCACTGAGTTCATACACATAGGACCCACCTAGAAAAGGAGAAAGTGAAAAAAATTTGGAGTAACAATATTTTTTCTTGTATCCTAAGCCTAAATAATGAATACAATTCTTTATGCATCTGATAGAATTCTAAACATGTCATCTAAGATTTTAAAAAAAATTAAGACTTACATGATAAAATAAGCTCACTGTATTAATTCTCCATTCCCTCAAAGACAGAGAAAAAGCTATGGCATCCTGGGCACTGAGGGCTACAAAGCTACTCTGTATTATAACTTTGCCTTTCCCAGATAATTTGCCTGAGTCATACACTTACCAAAATTCTGTTCAAATTCTCCAACTTGTTACAAAAACCAATTACGCAAGCTAACGAAAGATGACTGCAAAAGTAAAATCTATTGTTTATGTAAAATAAAAAAAAATGGAGGTAAGTCATTAAGAAAACCTGCCTTTCAAAATAGTTATAGGCAAGACAACTGGAAATATAAGAGGAGAGAAAACATTGAAAATCTATACTGATTCTACACTCAGATTTCTTCAAAAGCATTAAGTTCCTATTTTCCTTTAAATAAACAAAGCCTACACAGCCAATCAATGATTCTCTCATCACTGATATTTCTACCCCTCTCTACCTCTCCCTTCCTTTCTGAAATCAATTAAAAAAAATAATAATAATTAAAAAAAATAAAGCCTAGCCTTGACCAGTTTGGCTCAGTGGATAGAGCATCAGCCTGTGGACTGAAGGGTTCCAGGTTTGATTCTGGTCAAGGACATGTACCTTGGTTGTGGGCACACCCCCAGTAGGGGGTGTGCAGGAGGCAGCTGATCAATGTTTCTAACTCTCTATCCCTATCCCTTCCTCTTTGTAAAAAAATCACTAAAATATATTTTTAAAAATAAATAAAGCCTACACACCAGCCTGTGGTGCCAGTGGTTCATGAGAACGCTTTATCCATACAGCAATGTATCAGCAAATGAATATAAATATTAAGATACAACGAAGTACTTTAAAGTTTGAAAAAATATATGTTTTAAAGATTCTAAACTTAAGCCAATGACACGGAGGACATATGTGTTGGAAAAGATCACTTCTACATTTTACTATTAAAAAAGGAGAAAACAATTCATTAGCAATCCCACAAATGTAATTACTATTAATATTTAAACCTGCCAAAACCGGTTTGGCTCAGTGGATAGAGCGTCGGCCTGCGGACTGAAAGGTCCCGGGTTCGATTCCGGTCAAGGGCATGTACTTGGGGTTGCGGGCACATCCCCAGTGGGAGATGTGCAGGAGGCAGCTGATCGATGTTTCTCTCTCATTGATGTTTCTAACTCTCTATCCTTCTCCCTTCCTCTCTGTAAAAAATCAATAAAATATATTTAAAAAAAAAATATTTAAACCTGCAGGTTTTTCTAACAAACATTATCATCATATTTCCATATCATTAAATATTCTTCTAAAATTATTTATAATGACTATGTACAAGTACCACACTATACCGGACAACTCCCTTACTGTTGACTATTTAAGCTGGTGGCATTTCAGTGACATTACAAACAATAATTATTACCTTTGTAGTAAAAATCTTTGCACGTTTCACCACTACTTTATAACTTCCTTAAAGCTGTAAGGAGCGAGTCACAAGGTATAACCAATCACTCACTCAACAAATACACATGATGGACACGGTTTAGGCACAGAGGATACAGAGGACAGTTGCAGCATTCTTGTAGCTCAGTAGGAGACACAGTAATGCAAATAGCTGGAACAAAACCCACTAACCAGCCCTAACTGAACATCACTTAGATGTAAGTTTAAAATAACTTTTAAATGCATTAACTCATCTACACCAGGAATTCTGTGCATTTTTGTTTTTGTTTTTACACCAGGAATTCTTCATAGCATTTGCTATTTTATTTTATTTTTATCCTCACCCGAGGATATCTTTCCATTGCTTTTTGTTGTATTTTTTAGAGAGAATGAAGGAGAGGGAGAGTCAGAGAGAGAAATATCGACATGAGAGACATGTTGATTGGTTGCCTCCTACACGTGCTCCAGCTCAGAAGGGTATCAAGCCTGCAACCAAGGTATGTGCCCTAGACCGGAACCAAAACTGGAACCTTTCAGTCTGCAGGCCAACACTCTCTACTGAGCCAGATCGGCTAAGGCAGTATTTCCTAAATTATTAATGATGACAATGAACCACAGAAGTATTGGCATTAACGATATGATTCTATTACCATTGAATCATATCACATTACCATTATTGCTGATAAATTTTATACTCAACTTAAGAAAGATGGTACTTCGGGTTTTTTTTAATCCTCACCCAAGGATATGTTTTTACTGATTTTAGAGAGAGAACAAGGGGGAGAGAGAAACATGGATCAGTTGCCTCCTGTATGCACTCTGACCTTGGATGGAAACTGCAACCTGAATGTCTGCCCCAACCTGCAACCAGGAATCAAACCCTGGCCTTCTCAGTGTATAGGACCATGCTTCAACCAACGGCGCCACACGGCCAGGGTTAGAGCGAAGGTCATTTGTTCAGCCAAATTCAATAGTGACACAGTCTGTAGTCAGTAGTTTCGTTCTTCCAGGGAAAAGCCAATTTTAAGCCACAGTCTTGACAGAGCATTGTACATTTTAAAGCTCACATATTTACCATATGGCTTCCCAACCTCCCCAATCATTTCTTTTCAAAGTTTTGTTTTATGGCTTATTTCTGCAATGAGCTGCCTCCAAAACCTTTTTATGTAAAGAGACAGAGTTTATTACATAATTTCGACATCAAAATTTTCATCAACAGTACAATCAATCTTAAAAGGCAAGTAAAACAGTCCTTCCAGTAAGGGTAAGATGTTGGTTTTCTCTGATAAGAATCACCCTGTTTGATAAGGTAAAGACTATCAAAAGAGAAAGTAGTAAACTATTTCTTGTTGAAACTATCTCACAGCATCCTAGAACTCTTCTCACCAGTGGTCAGGTATGAATTACAATATACATATTAGATTTGTCACCTAATGTTTTTGATAAAATGTTTTAAAAAAAGTAAAAAATGTGGGGGCAGCTTGGAGACTTAATTTAGTAAGGAATTACAGATACATATTGACACTTAAAGGTAGCAAGTGTGGGTTCAGGAACAGTGAAATATCTTTTTCATTTTTTATTCTTTAACTAGAGGCCCAGTGCACGAAATTCATGCGGGGGGGGGGGGGGGGGGGCGCGCGGGGGGGGGGGGGGGGAGATTGTCCCTCAACCCAGCCTGAACCCTCTGGCAGTCCGGAAACCCGCAGGAACGGGCCTAAGCCGGCAGTGAGACAACCCTTTCGCAGTCCAGAACCCCCCTGGCTCTTTAGTGCTGCTGCAGAGGCAGGAGAGGCTCCCACCACTGCTGCTGCGCTTGCCAGCACAGCCGTGAGCCTGGCTTCTGGCAGAGTGGCACTCCCCGTGGGAACGTGCTGACCACCAGGGGGAAGCTCCTGCGTTGAGCATCTGCCCCCTGGTGGTCAGTGCGCATCATAGCGACCGGTCCTTCTGGTTGCTCCGCCATAATGGTTGCTTAGGCTTTTATTATATACATACCCTTAATTATGCAGATATTGATGAACCATCTAATCTCTGCAGAAAATAAAGTAACATTTCAGCCCACCCAAAAAGCCTTTGTTCCCAGAGATTAGGTAATAAAATGTAGTAGTACTATTCTGTATTCATCATAGGCAGATCACAAGTTATGATCTCTGAGCACTATGATTATCACTGCTCAGTAAAAATATTACCTTTAATTGTATACATGTATATAAGCCAAACCAATGGACATGGACAACAGGGGGATGGGAGCATGAGTTTGTGTGTGGGGGGGAGGTTGGGGGTTAATGGGGGGGATGAGGACACATTTGTAATACCTTAACTAATAATTAAAAAAAAAAAAAAATATTACCTTTATGTTCCACATAAGGCTCCATATCCAAAAGCTCTGAGAAGCCAATGTAGGTATTCAGCTTTTTCTTATGTCCAGTTTGCCTAAGCAAGAGAAAAGCTAATTATAGTTATACTTAAAACAATCATAAAACAATGCATAAGCTCTGTCATCTATCTTAAAAAACTCAATAGATTTCCTTCTTCAAAGACCTGTATAAGTATACATAATACTGTCTTAGAATTGGGCAAAATAAATCGATCACTTAAAAGGTATGAATTTAAAATGCTAATTCCAAACAGAGCACTTATTTCCAGAGGTTTGGATTTGATCACAAGAGGAAACCACAGATGCTCCTGCTTTTTTATGGAAGAAATGACTGGTTTTAATGATAAAAGATATATATTCCCATGGAGTTGAGGGTACCATAATGAGCAAAAAATTTTTCTCTCGCCGAAACCGGTTTGGCTCAGTGGATAGAGCGTTGGCCTGCGAACTGAAAGGTCCCAGGTTCGATTCCGGTCAAGGGCATGTACCTGGGTTGCGGGCACATCCCCAGTAGGAGATGTGCAGGAGGCAGCTGATCGATGTTTCTCTCTCATCAATGTTTCTAACTCTCTATCTCTCTCCCTTCCTCTCTGTAAAAAAAAAAAATCAATAAAATATATTTAAAAAAAAAATTTTTTTTTCTCTCGTTCTTACACAATAATACAGAATGTCAAGTAATTCAGTTCCGACCTAAATGTTTGCTTTTCCTTTGCATCTTAAAAATAATTTCCCAGAATAAAAAATAAGGAGTCTCTACTTTTCTATTTCTGAATTTTATGTCTAGCTTCTTTAAGAATTTTGTGATAAAATCATGAAATACACGCATTTCCAATCAACAGGCTCCATCTATAACTTTCATCCTCAAGCTAGCATTACAAATTATAACTACCTGTCTACAGTAAAATCTGCACATTATTCCATGATGAGCTACAAACACTACACCTGCACATACTTACCTGTCAAAGACAAAACGCATGAGCTGCAAGTTCAGAGTGCAAGGAAGGCTTAGCAGTCGGATCTTCCTTGTTGCATTCTGTTTACTTTGACAGTTTTCACAGAAGTATCGATTGTCTCCTTCTAGTCTTTCTTCCTGATAAGGATCAAGACATTATATTTTAAAAACTAGGAGATGGGAAATGGGTTTTAGAAGCATAGAACAGACTGCAGAACCTCAGAGAGAAGTGGGGGGGAAGAAATCAAAGAACTTATATACATATATGCATAACCCATGGACACAGACAGTGGGGTGGTGAAGGCCTCGGGTGGGTGGTGGGGGCATAACAGAAGGGGTCAATGGGGGGAAGAAGGGGTCATATGTAAAATTTTCAACAATAAAGATTTAATTTTTTTTAAAAAATATATGCATTTTGATGCAGCATAATTTAAAAATAGTGAATAGGTACAAACTACACGTGGGCACCACAATACAAAATTAATTATATATATACTAGAGGCCCAGTGCATGAAAATTCACACACTCAGGGTTCCCTCAGCTCGGCCTGCGCCCTCTCGCAGACCAGGAGCCCTTGGGGGATGTCTGACTGATGGCTTAGGTCCGCTCCCTCCTCCCGGTTCCCCATTCAGTCAACTTGCATATTAGGCTTTTATTATATAGGATACACATACACAAATTTTACACACGTGCATGCACACGCACACTGGGTTAAAATTATTGAACCACAGAAGAGAAAGCTAAAAGAAGAGTGCAGGGAAATTCAATGTCATGGCTAACGGTGGTTTCTTTTTACATTTTTCCTTATTATTTCTATAATAGCTTTTGATACAGATGACTGTAAATACTACAATACTGACACCACCACTGTATTCACCTGGCTCCAGGATCCCACATTCACCTGTTTCCCTCAACTCACTGGCCAGTCCTCCTCCTCCTCCTCCTCCGCCCACTGCTCCTATCTCCCTTTCTTCATGTTTGAATGTCCCAGGGGGCTCAGTCCTTGGTCCTTGTCTCTCATCCCTGGGGACTTTTTTTTAATATATATTTTTATTGATTTCAGACACAGGAAAGGAGAGGGAGAGAGAGATTGAAACATCAATGATGAGAGAGAATCGTTGACTGGCTGCCTCCTGCACGCCCCCTTCTGGGGATCAAGCCCACAACCCGGGCATGTGCCCTTGACCAGAATGGAACCCGGGACCTTCAGTCCACAGGCTGATGCTCTATCCACTGAGCCATACTGGATAGGGCATCCCCGGGGACCTTATCTAGCTTCAATTTATCCCTCAACTATACCTCTCAAATGTAACATGCCCCAGTGCAAACTCCTGATTCCTCTTCCAAACCTGCTCCTCCCATAATCCTTCACATCTGGGTTATGGCAACCACATTCTTCCAGTTGCTCAGGCCAACCTTAGTAACCCTCGACACCTCTTGCTCTCCGTATCCAGCCTGCAAATTTCATCAGCTCTACTTTGAAAACATATCTAAAACCCAAACTCATCATCTCTTCAACTAAGCCTTGGTCCAAGCCACCATCAACATCTATCTGCCCTGGCCCCGCATCAGCCTCCTCTTCTCAAGACAGTACCCAGTTATCCTGTTAAAAACAGGTTACATCCTTCCTACGCTCACAGCTCAATGGCATCTGACCTCACTCGAATAAAAGTCAAACTTCTGACAAAGGTCTACCAGGCCCTATCTGAAAAGGTCCTTGGTGATCTCTACCACTTCATCTCCTGTCATTCTCCCCTTTTTTGTTTCACTTCAGTCACAAAATAGCCCAAATATGCTCCTCCTGGTTTTTGCATGGCTCACACCATCACCTTCTATCACCTTATTTCTAATTGTAACCAACCTCACCCTCATCCCTACCAGATTCTCCACCCTTCTTGCCTGCTTTAGTTTTCTCCATAGCACTTGTTATAGTTGACATTCTTTGTATTTTACTTATATTTGTTTTACTGCCCCTCCCTGATCCCAACACCATTACACTATAAGCTGCTTAAAGGCAAAAATGTTTTGTCTGTTTTGCTCACTATGGTTATCCCCAACAGCTAAAACAGTGTCCGAACAGCGACCACTCAACACTAGCTGAATGGATTCAAGGAATGAGTATCTCTAGCATCTAATGGTTGTGCTAAGAGAGTAGGAAAAGTACAAAAATAGTAAGTTCATCTATTATGCTATGTGTCTGTTCCTTCTTTTTTCTATTTTTTTTTAAAATATATTTTATTGATTTTTTTCACAGAGAGGGAGAGAGATAGAAAGTTAGAAACATCGATGAGAGAGAAACATCGATCAGCTGCCTCCTGCACATCTCCCACTGGGGATGTGCCCGCAACCCAGGTACATGCCCTTGACCGGAATCGAACCTGGGACCTTTCAGTCCGCAGGCTGATGCTCTATCCACTGAGCCAAACCAGTTTCGGCTGTTCCTTCTTGATAGCAAAGGTTTCCTCCTAGCAGCTTTTCCCCCAGAACAAAAGGGAACCACTTCCACATCAGTACATAAATCTAAATATACAGAAAGTAGAAATATCAAGTGGCAGACCTGAAGAATGACCACAGTGATATAAAAATTATTTACATTCAACACATTCTACCTCTCATCAAATGAAAATGTAAATTAAACAAAGTAACAGCTTAGATTTCCTTAAACACTCTATTACCCCTCATCACACAGTAAGTTTTTATATACATAAAATAACCTGAAATAGTCAAAAATTATTTTAAGATGCAGCCTGCTTCAATACTTTATAATTTACTAAGGTTCTTCTAGATCATTACATAACCAGAGACACTTCATATATAGAAAATATTGAAATAACTTTATCCATTAAATCAAAAACCATTCAGAATAGTATTTAACTGTTAATGAGCAAAAACAATACATACAACAAAATTGAATACCTTCAAAAATTCCGAGATACAATCTGTTAACTGTTTATGGCCTTGGATATTTAACTCCAGTTCATAAAACTTTGATAAAAGCTTAGACTCTCTGCCACACTGATTGCAACTGTAATAAAAGAGTGATAAAATTAAGATCAGGGTGGGAAAAACAAAGTTCTATTGTTTTACATCCTAGAACTATAGATAGAAGCGTTTATGCCCTTAGTTCTCTTTCACAGAAATTATTTACACTATATGTATTTAGTAAACACAGACAGTGATTGGTGAGGCCATGTGTTTTAGGATTAGGAAAGTTTTTAAGAGTTATTCTACATTTACACTTAGTATTCTAACTGACTTTAATCTTACTCTTTCAGCTAACACCACAGCCATAAAATAAGTGGCAAGTGCTCAACCAGACACAGTTCCCAACACCTGGATGGGTTCAACTGTAACTATCAAGACAGTTGTTCACATGTTCCCATGGCAATGTATTGCTATAAATATTTCAGGTCCCATGATAATCCACTAAAGCTATAACGTGGAACTGAACTAAAAATTAGATAACATATGAACGACTGTCTTAGAGTAAAACATGAAAAGCTGAAACACACTTACACAGTTACATAAGCATATTCCCCACAGAACTGCTGTTGGACAATGTTCCGCACATCTGGATTCTTTTGTTTAGACAAAGTATCTTCCAAAAGAGACATAAAGAGCTTTGAAAATTCTTGGGCATCCTACAACACAAGTTTGGGTTAATAAAAAGAAAAATCAAGTCTTGCTTTTCAACTTCTGATACAAGTAGAAATAAGTTAAATATTCCCAAAACCATCTGTACTTTGAACTTGACATTTATGAACAAGGACTAGAGCTGTACTGAATCAGCTTGTGCCCAAAATAGGAATTTTCAGAAATAGGATCAAGAAAAATGTACAATAAACTGAACAGTAAATAAATGCTCTAAATCAAGATAGAAAAAATAATTTATAAAAGCATTTCCTTCTATAAACATTCTAAGGAATGCTTGGGTACCTTTTTATATTGAAAAAATAAACACAAGGTTCTTACCTGCTGTTGCCCTGTGTCCAAGCCCAAGGCTTTAACAAATCCCGATGGATCGATGTATCGCCTATTACTGTTTTGCAACAAGGCAAACAAGTACTGGAGATGCTCACAAATTGTTTGAGGCTCATAATCTATTTTTAAAAAATGTTTATGTTTAAAAAACTGCTACTCTTTAAAATATACTTCATCTTCACATGAGATATAATTAAACACCCTTACATTCAAACTATATAGTATTTTATTATTGTTTTAAAACTTCTAAAGAAACAAATTCATAACCACATGTCTTTTGGAAGTAATGAGGTGGCCATAGCTGTCTATATACATCCTATGAAAGCAAGAGGCCATATGTACATTTCAACAATCACAGTCATGACTAGTTTCTACAAATCACACTGAAAACATCCATTCCAGTAATAAAAACCATATTCACCGTTCGTATAAAATGGCCAAACACTTTAATGAAATCTCATTAATGTGGTCTTGCCACCCACAGAGCAAGTGACAGGAATCTCAAGGCTAGAGTTTCAAACTTGAATGAAAAATCCTAGAATTTTTGAATAGCAAATTTTAATGAGTTGGGGGAAGGTAGGCAAATCAGAAGCATGAATCTCAAGGGCCCTAAAAGACTTGAGTGTTACCTTCTGTGCCAGTTATTAATTTATTGCCTCTCACCTCTAAATCCACCCTTCTTTGCCTGCTCTATGATAACAGATGAGCTCCGCAAATATTTCTCCTTTGCCAGGTAGGGCAAGGTTAAATCTTGTCCGTAGGGGGCACTGGAGAGTTCAGTTATGCCTCTCACCACACTCCTGGGGGGTGCAGCTTCTCAGACTCCAGGTCTCTGCAGCCTACAAGTGGCCAGGAGCGTCCCTCAGGACCTCCTCTGGTAGCTAGCTGCACAGTAGAATGCGTCTGTTGAGACACTTCCTCTTAAACGAGCACCCAGTGAATGACCTTCAGGCACCTCTCAGGTGACTTCACAGAGGCTTCTGGGCCCAGCACCTTCCTGTAGGCCAGTGGTTCTCAACCTTCCTAATGCCGCGACCCTTTCATACAGTTCCTCGTGTTGTGGTGACCCCCAATTTCATTGTTACAAATTGAACATAATTGAACCATAGTGATTAATCACAAAAACAATGTCATTATATATGTGTTTTCCGATGGTCTTAGGCAACCCCTGTGAAAGGGTCGTTCAACCCCCCAAGGGGTCTCGACCCACAGGTTGAGAACCACTGCTGTAGGCAGTTTCCAGCAGAGCCCCACGGAGGCATCTCTAGTGAGCCTTGGCAATGCTCTCTCCAAAGAGGTCTGGATCTCCGCCCCAGGCTTACTGGCTGCTCCCTATGTCCGCTACTCCTGTATTGTTTCAAGTCCTGTTTAATTCTTACTAAACAATTCCCCATTACTTGAATTTCCTGTTAATAATCCCCTTTGCTTCCTCTGTTCAAGTTATTGTGCAGTTTGTCTTCTGATTAAACTGACAGTTTATCTCTTTACTGCCAATTGTGACTTCCAGGAAATCAGTATTTCATTTGCAAAATAAAGATAAAAATCTTACTTCCTGGGGTGCAAGGCCTTCCAGCCTGTTAAAAGCTGTCAAGTAAGTCTTATCTACTCCAACTCTTTTATTTGACAGGCTAGATACTCCATAAGATCTTCAACAACTCCTACTCCCTGGTTTTTCTATTTGTAAAATAAGGGAGTGGTTGAGCTGGGCATCAAACTCATCAGACCACACCGTTCCCAACAAAAGCCCTTTCCACTACACGGCACTGTGACCATTAAGATAACAGCAGAGCCCTAGTCGGCTTGGCTCAGTGGATAGAGCGTCAGCCTATGGACTGAAGGGTCCTGAGTTCGATTCCAGTCAAGGACACATGCCCGGGTTGTGGGCCCGATCCCCAGTAGGGGGGTGCAGGAGGCAGCCGATCAATGATTCTCTCTCACCATTGATGTTTCTATCTCTCTCTCCCTTTCCCTTCCTCTTTGAAATCAATAAAAATATATTTAAAAAAAGAAACAGCAGAAATGTACATGCTTATGAAGAACTTCGGTGAAATATTAGAATTTGTGTGTTTAGAAAATGTATTTAAATTTCTTGAAGATACCCAAAGAATTCTGGCAACGGTACATCAGTTTATAAAATAAAAATTTAGTTTTCATTTGTTATTTAACTATCTTCTCATTGGTAAATTTATACTTCAGCAAAACAATGCTAAAATTTTTTAAATGATCCATTTTATGATTCAACCTTTACATACACTATTACCTTAAATATTTAACACACTATTGGTCCAGATTTAAATATTCAGAACTATAGAAAGAAAGCATGCGGAAACAAACTTAATTTTTAAACACTGTTGTGAAGCAAAGATTACCATTGACAAGGACAGGACCAAGACCCTCAAGTATCACTACTGTCTGAAGGGCTGAAAGAGGTGGGGCTTACACATCCTATCTTTTCTCACTCCTAGCAAAAGAGATTAGCATTATGCCCTGGCTGGCTTGGCCCAGTGGGCAGAGTGTCGGCCTGGGGACTGAAGGGTCCCGGGTTCAATTCCAGTCAAGGGCACATGCCTGGGTTGCCAGCTCGGTCCCCAGTAGGGGGCGTGCAGAAAGCAGCTGATCAATGATTCTCATCATTGATGTTTCAATCTCTCTCTCTTTCTTCCTCTCTGTAATCAATTAAAAAAATAAAACAAAAAGATCAGCATTGTGCTCAAATCAGATCATATAAAAGACAGCACGAGGTTTACAGATGAACTACTGACTAGGGCCTAAGGCACAACTGTCTTGCTCTGGGCTGAATATCGACCTCATTAGAGTTGTCAGTAGCCTCTTAGAATTAATTACTTGCTTATTTGGCGTTATACTGAACTATTTATTAATTAAAATACATCAAGGTAACAAACTAGGCAAAAGAGTAACTTTGTCTGCTTTACTGACTGATTTTGATCAGTCACTAGAAACTAATGGACTACAATCACAGCCTACCCAGGCCGAGTAGCTCAGTTACTGTTAGAGCAGTGGTTCTCAACCTTGGCTGCACATTAGAATCCCCTGGGAATCTTTTTAAAATCCGGATTTCTGGGCCTTATCCTCTGGAAATTCTGTTTCTTTGTTACTAATGTTGTGGCCCCACCCCATAACAAAGAAACAGAATTTCCAGAGGATGAGGCCCAGAAATCAGGATTTTAAAAAGATTCCCAGGGGATTCTAATGTGCAGCCAAGGTTGAGAACCACGGAGTTAGAGCATCATCCCGATGCATCCAGGTTGTGAGTTAGATCCTGGGTCAGGGCACATACAAGAATCAATCAATGAATGCATAAATAAGTGGAAAAACAAATCAATGTTTCTCTCTCTCTCACTCTCTAAAAATCAATAAAAAATTTAAATGTTAAAAAAAATTGAAAGAATCATCAAATATATTTCCTTCCCTTGAATTTTAGCCATTTATTTATTTATTGGTTTCAGAGAGAGGAAGGGAGAGGGAGAGAGATAGAAGCAATGATGAGACGGGATCACTGATTGGCTGCTTCTTGCACGTCCGCTACTGGGAATCTGGGGATTGAGCCTACGACCCAGGCAACTGCCCTGACCTGGAATGGAACTGTGACCTCCTGGTTCATAGATCAATGCTCAACCACCAAGCTACACAGGCTGGGCGAGTATTAGCCATTTTTTACATAAATGATAAATATAGAGAAAAAAGGAAAGTGATTTTGAACCTTGACAATGTTTATAAAGAACTACAACCATGCCTGGCATGGAACACTTGAAAGCAAGTCCCCTCTATTTGGCTGGTTGGGATGTGATCTACTGGCAACACTCAGAAGTGAACCCATCCCATCCCACTGACCTTTCTCTTCCTGGATACCATCTCCCCTCATGTAGTCACTACAGGTACTTGGACATAAGTATAGTGCCTGCCGAAGTTCCAAGTTGAGAAACCAGACTTGAAGAAATGTGTTGACGTAACAAGTAGCTCCAAGGTTAGTGAGGCCCACAAATGAGTTCTACAAAAACAGAAAATTTACAACTAAAAAAAAAGTTACAGGACACGTTATTTTTTCAATTTCAGATTACAATTTTGTTAAAACTGTCTCAGCCAACATGGTAGAACCACCTTCAGCCTCTCGGCCAAGCGTGGGGCATCGTTTTGCTGAATAAATTACAAACTCTCAATGGCTTCCTTTTCACAAGTTACCAGAAATCAACAATGGTTTCTGACCATAAGCACAAAACATAGGACACCATGTGAAATCACTTAAAAATGATGGCTCACCTTTTTTCTCCTCTCACAATTGGGATCATCAATGTTATGAAAACTATTTTCATCTATTTCTCCTAACCAAATATGCTCACCAATCCCAACCAAGCAATTTGGATTTCCTTTGCAGTTTCGTCTATGAAGAAAAAAAAAGTTTAATTTTAAAATACTATAGCTCCAGGATAAGAAACACTCAAATTAAAACTATAATGATATACCATTTTTTTTTAAAAAAAATCTATTATCTCTAAGATTAGCATAACTGAGAAAGTATTCCACCACTCAACACTCAGTTTGTGAGTCTGTGGAAAACAGAACTAATTCACCACTGAAGGGAATACAAACTGGTAGGACTCTTACAGAGAAGAATTTTGTAGTCTCTTAACAAATCTACACTTACAGCTAACCATTTCCTCTCTAAGAATTCACCCTGAAGATACAACTCCTTCAGTGCAGAAACACAGGCACGAGGTTTTTCCTTACAGCACCGTTTACAACTGCAAACTGCTGGAAACAAACCAAATGGCCAAACAGGGGATGTGGTACACACACATAAAAGAGTACTATGCAACCAACAAACAAAAAAAAAGCAGGAAGAAGATCTCTATGAACTAAGGTGGAGTAATTCCTAGGATATATTAGTAAGTGAAAAAAGCGAAGTGCAAAAGAGTAGCTACAGTATGCTAGTGTGTGTGTGTGTGTGTGTGTGTGTGTGTGTGTGTGTGTGTGTAAGCAATAAGAAACACAAGGACAGCCCTGCTAGCGTGGCTCAGTGTTTGAGCGTTGACCTATGAATCAGGAGGTCACTATTCAATTCTTAGTCAGGGCACATGCCCAAGCTGTGGGCTTGATCCCATGTAGGAGGCAGCCAATCAATGTGCAGGAGGCAGCTGATCAGTGATTCTCTCATCACTGATGTTTCTATCTCTCCCTCTCCCTTTCCCTCTGAAATCAATAAAAATACATTAAAAAGAAAAGAAAAAAGAAAGACAAAGCAGAGACTAATGAAATTGGTTACCTATTAGGATAAGGGTAAAAAAAAGGAGAGGTGTGACACTTTTCTGAATATACTGTTTCATACACAGTTGAATTCTGGGGCCATGTGAGTCTCTCTCTCTCTCTCTCTCTCTCTCTCTCTCTCTCTCTCTCTCTCTCTCTCTCTCTCACACACACACACACACACACACACACAATCAATAAGGATGGGGAGAACCCTAAATTCAACACAAACATATTTCAACTAAGTAACATCCACATTGAAGGATGGGGGGACTAACCCTAGCAACCTGAACAGTGGTCAGCAATCTCATTTAGTAGTGTCCTTAGGCTGAAGTAAAGACAAAAGGAATAAATTACAAACTCTCAATGGCTTCCTTTTCACAGAGACAGGGATCCTTAGGCTGAAGTAAAGACAAAAGGAATAAATTACAAACTCTCAATGGCTTCCTTTTCACAGAGACAGGGATTAACAATTCTGAAACAATTTTCTATATATTCTACAACTCAACAAAAAGTAAATATACTGGAGACAAAGGGAACCAAATTTTGGAGAGGAAAGCTAGGGTGGTGGAAGGCTAAACTCATGGGTCTTAATATATGGAGGCAGAATAAGGTTGCCAGGTAAAATACAGGGCAGTACTTATTTGAGCATACCTAGCAACCAGATCTTGATGCCTAAATATTCCCCACTCGACGAATCCAGGGCTCCTTGGAGAAATGGCTGTTGTTAAGGCTGGGCATGGAAAACACAAGATAAACATGGAATATCTTGCCGTGCCCAAAAAGTAAAGATGCAGTCAAAGAATGATGGGGGCATATAAAAATGACAGTTTCAAAGGGGCTGTAGTGGCCAGATCTGGAACAATTTGATCCAACAAAATAAGTAACAATAGGATTATGACTACTGAAGAAAGCAGGTATCGATAATGAGATGGATGGGAAATCTCTAGAGAAGAAAGCCCACTTACAAAGTAAAAGGAAGGGTGGAATTAGGAAATCGTCATTTGGCATCCATCAGATTAATTACAGAATCAGGCAGCAATCATCAAGGATGCTAATATAGGCAAGTTTGAGAAGGAACAGACAGTAGCTCAGCACAAACTGTTTAATAATTACAAAAGGAAAAATAGTAGCTTTGAGTGGAGAAACCTGGCAAATACCACTTTAACCAAGTGATCAAAGTTAAGGTAACCAGTATGTGGGGGGGAGGAGGGGCAGCCACAAGCTGGGCTGATGGCGAGCACAGCAGTGGTGGCGGGAGCCTCTCCCACCTCTGCGGCAGCGCATGTCCAACTGTGGCTTAGGCGGCTCCCTGTCGGTCAGACATCCCCCGAGGGCTCCCAGGCTGCCAGAGCGATGTCTGACTGGGGATAGCCCCTGGGGAGCAGGCCTAAGCTGGTAGGTGGACATCCCTCGAGGGGTCCCGGACTGTGAGAGGACGGAGGCTGGGACAGGGGATCTGGAGTGATTACTCAGATCCCGCCACCCGCCCCCCCCAGCCCCCCAGTGCACAAATTCCGTGCACCGGGCCTCTAGAGAGAGAGAGAGAGAGAGAGAGAGAGAGAGAGAGAGAGAGAGAGAGAGAGACTACACTAATAAAAGAGAAACATGCAAATTGGTGTCACTCTGCTACGCCCACTAGCCAATCAGGATGAATATGCAATTAACCCAACAAAACTGGCAGTTAATTTGCACATGCAGGCGCAGAGCGAAGACTAAAGATGACGGAGGAGGCTTGGCTTCTCCCCTGCGGCCGGAGAGAAGGCCTGGGTCCAGGGCGCCGGAGGAAAACCAGTGCCAGCAGCCAGGGGAAGGAAGGCCTATCGCACGAATCTCTTCGTGCAACGGGCCTCTAGTGTATATATAAAAGAGCAACACCAACCAAACCCAAGTTGAGGAACTTTACACAGTAAGTGTGACGTACTTTTCTAAAATGTAGTGTCACAAAATACTAAGAAAGACTGAGTAATCCCTCCAGATCAAAGGACACCAATGAGGCACTGCAACATGAGCTTGGATTTTCTTCTGTTATGAAGGACGTCTTTAGGTCGATGTGTGTGAACATCTCAGGTTATCCACTCAAGCTTTACTGGTAGCAGTGAAAAACTGGAAGTATTATAAATGGCCATCAACAGAAAACTGATAAAAATAAATAATATAACCAAATGGAAACTACTGTAGGCAGGGAATAAAGGCAAAACTTTTTAATGTAATGATATGTAACAATTATCATTAGTTGAAAAAAGGCACAAAACAGTGTTTAAAAATGGATACGAGCCCAGCCAGTGTGGTTCAGTGGTTGACATGATCCCCAGCAGGGGGCAGGAGGCAGCCCTCTCTGAAATCAATAAAAATATACTTTTTTAAAAAAGAAAAATGGGTGTGATAGGCCTGTTTGTTTAGATAAAGGTAAACACACTATAAAAAGGACACCACCATCTCTGAACAGTTCACCATGTACTTGCCTGCTGCAAATTAGGAGTAAAAGGCTATGTATGCTTCCCCATGCTTTTTTACCTCTCTGACTTAGAACTAGGGAGTCTGCCACATATTCCAGAAATAACTGTTTAAGGGTCCACCCAAATATACTGTCTTCCTGGCTTTAAAAAATAAAAATGAAAACAAGTTTGCTCAATGTAAGAGCAGTTTTTTGTCAGGTTTACATGTCAAAGCCGGGTGGAAAACAACTTACTGAAGAAATAAAAGTAGGGCTGATTCACTGAGGGAGGTTAAGACCTTCCCTTGGACTAATTTGAACTTCTGTTAATCAAATATGCCATTAAGAAAGTTAAACGCGACCAGCCGGAGTGGCTCTAGTTGAACGTCAACCTATAAACCAGGAGGTCACGGTTCGATTCCGGGTTAGGGCACATGCCTGGGTTGCAGGCTCAATCCCGGGTATAGGGCGTGCAGGAGGCAGACGATCAATAATTCTCATCATTGATGTTTCTATCTCTCTTTCCCTCTCCTTTCCTCTCTGAAATCAATTTTTAAATTTTGTTTTAAAAAAAAGTTAAAAAGCAAGACGAGAAGATATCTGCAATACAATATATTCAACAAACACTTGTATCAAAATAAACTCCTACAAATCAATAAGATAGCCCTAGCAGGTGTGGCTCAGTGAGTTGAGCCATCATCCCGTGTACCAAAAGGTCACCAGTTCAATTCCTGGTCAGGGCACATCCTGGGGTTTTGGGTTCTATCCCAGTTGGATGGGTACAGGAGGCAAGTGATCAATGTTTGTCTCTCAAATCATGTCTCTCTCTCTCTCTCTCTTTCTTCCCCCCCCCCCCCCAAAACTCAATTAAAAACCTTTTTTAAAAAATCAGTAAGATAATCAAAATGACAAAAATGGGTAAGAGATTTAAATAAGCACCTCACTAGAGGATACACAAATAGTTGAATATGAAAGAGGTCAATTTCATTGACCATCAGAAAAATGCATGTTAAAACCACAAAAGGCCGAAACCGGTTTGGCTCGGTGGATAAAGTGTAGGCCTGCAGACTGAAAGGTCCCAGGTTCGATTCCGGTCAAGGGCATGTACCTGGGTTGCGGGCACATCCCCAGTGGGAGATGTGCAGGAGGCAGCTGATCGATGTTTCTCTCTCATCGATGTTTCAAACTATCTCTCTCCCTTCCTCTCTGTAAAAAATCAATAAAATATATTAAAAAAAAAAAAGAAGTAAAAAAAAAAAAAAAAAACCCACAAAAGGATACCATGACACATACATCATTAATGGCTAAAATGAAAATGATTATACCAACTACTGGTGAGGATTTGTAGCAAATGAACTTGCACATACTGTTCATGAGAATAGAATGTGATACAATAACTTTGAAAAACAGTATAGCATTACCTGCTAAAGCTACATAAACACTTATGTTCCAGCAATTCCTCTCTTATCAAAAATGTATATACAGCAGGCAAAGATATATATAAGAATTTTCATTGCAGCTTTATTCATAATAGCCAAATACTGAAAAGACTCTAAATGGACCATCCCCAGAAGAAGAAAGTATATAGTAACAATGGAATACTGTACAGCTCTAACAATAAACATACTTCTGCTACCCCCAACGAGGATGAATCTCACAATGCTGAGCACAAGCCACACACAGAAGGCGCTACAATGTAT